AGGATCTCCTCTGGTCTCGTTCAGGAAAGTGCAGGCACAGGCTTGGCTTTGCACAGCCCATGGATTTCAGACAGGGAGAGTTCCATGTGTGCTCCAGTGTGTGCATCTCTGCTGGTTGGGGACATATTGCTCAGCACTTGCAGAACTCAGCTCAAATTGCAGCACAAACCCCAACTCTGGGCCTGGAAGAGCTCGTTACCAGGTCGGTGCTGCAGGGAGAAGTGACTAATTGCAGGATGACTCTTGGAAAGCAAATTCTTTTGAGAAACGAGAGAAGACTTGGAGGCCTTTAAGCTTTCCAGATCAGGACTTGCTCGAGAAAATCCAAGGGGTTGAGTAATGCTCTGCAGGGAATGGTGTGGGTGGTGTTTTTCTGCCCCCCGAGAAGCTGGTGGTGGTCACAGCTGAGTACCTGAGGCTGCTGCTTGTTCAGCTGAGCTGCTCTAGTTGCAAAATTCCTTGGTCCTTTTCCTACTTGTGGCTGAATTCTAATTCACATCCTGCAAGTGGCAGAGCCGAAGGGATTTGCTGTGCTGAGCTGTGTCACAGGTGCTGTGACAGTGCCCTGTGGGGGTGGCTGCTGGCTCTTGGGCACTGTGATTTGGGAGAGAACTGCTGGTGTCAGTCCCAGGGATGGTTGTCATTTCAGAGCTGGTGGGATGGACAGACTTTGGTGTCACTTCAGGATGCTTGGGTGTCATTCCTGCAGAGTTCATTTACCAGACTGCAGCAAAGGCAGGTTTCTTGTGGAGTTCTCCGTGAAAGCACTGTAAAGAGTTCCTTTATGGTTTTAAGAACACCAGGTTTAACTTGTGGAGTACCTTTCCAGAAGTGACTGCTTGGTGAAGCTCTGTTCATCACCTGCTTCAGACCCTTACAGGAATACTCTGCTGGAGGAGAAATTTGGCCTTTCTCTCTCTTGCCTGCTGTCTCAGGGGCTGGTCCGTGCATTGCCAAATGTTCTTTGTCATCAGCTGCAGGAAAGCTTCTAGAATCCCAGAATGGTTTGGGTTGGAAAGGCCCTTAAACATCATCTGTCCCATGGGCAGGGGCACCTTCCACTATCCCAGGTTGTTCCAAGCCCCATCCTTGCAATTCCAGGGATGGAGCAGCCACAGCTTCTCTGGGTACACTGTGCCAGGGCCTCCCCACCCTCACAGGAAACAATTTCTTCCATTTATCCAACCTAAATTTCCCATCTTTCAGTCTGAATCTATTACTCCTTGTCCTATTACTGCAATTTCTGCTAAAAAATCCCTCTCCAGCTCCAGGATACTGGCAGGCTACAGATTCTCTGCTGCACTGCTGCAGATATTGATGCTTTTCCTCCACGTCTGAGCAGAGTTTGGCCCCTTCCCACCCACACCACGCTTGCTGATGGTATTTTGATGAGCTTTTTCCTTTATAGGGACAGCAAGGACATAGACCAAGGAGACAAACCCAGCCTTCTGTGCTTTCAAATGCTCCGTGCAGAGGTTTTCACCTCAGAGCAAAGGGGCTGCTGCTTAGGTGGGCTTGTTTGTGTTCTGTCCCTCACTTAATCTGTCTCATCTACTGAAGGCTACTCCGCAGGGGGACGTGAGGCCCTGAATGCACTCGGGGCAATTAGGACTCTAAAGCGTTATTTATTACAATTATTTTATTTTCAAAGTGGGTCAAGCCGTTTTGGCATTTCAGGCGTTGATTCCTGGTTCAATTGCAGGCCTTGGTCGCCATGGCAACTGCAGAAAGCGTTCGTCATGGCTGTGCCTTGGGCTGGATTCAAACTCCAGGGAATGGGCAGGAGCAGGGAGAGCTCCGAGGGGCTCGGGGCAGGGGCAGCCCTGTGCTCTCCGTGCCCATCCTCATTGTCACCAGCTCACACACGCGTCATTTTCTCTCTCTGTGGGGTCCTTCATGTCAGAAATATTCAGCTTTTCCCAGTCAGCAGAGACTAGGGGGGGAATTCAGCCCTCCTGGGTTTGATATTTGTGCCACTGACCAAAGAAGGAGCCCTTGATGTTGTTTTTCCCCCTTATTTCCGCAAAGGTGAGAATCCACACACATCTAACACGTGATATTTGTGGATGGATTTAATTTTTTTTAAACCAAAAAACAAGCTCGAAAGACAGAATCTGCCCAAGGTTGTGCTTGGCAGAGCTGGCACCAAAAATTGTGGCTACGGCAGTGTGTGAGCTGGGCAAAAATAAAATTGCCAGCTCTAAGCAATGATCTGAATGCATCTAAATGATCTAAAACATCCAAGCTGGTGCTGCTCCTGTGCAGCTGCAGTGCTAGGGCATGCTGGGCTGTGACTGAAAACCCACCTTGAGGAGCTCTGTGAGACCATAAAAAGACTAAAATAGCACCAAACTTTCCAGCATTTTTCATCTTGAGTTTCACCTGCATGCTATGGCAGCTGTACCCTGGTTTTGAGCTGCTCATTCTGAGCTTTAACTGAGCAGCAGCAAAATCTCATGGCTGCAAACTGAAAGCAAACAGAGGCTGGACTGAATCTGGCTTGGTCTTTGCAGAGCTGCTCTAAACTCAAGCTCAAAGTGAAACTGATCTCACACAAACTGAAAATGGGATGAGGTTGTGTGTGGTAAACTCGGGTTTTGTAGAGCTGTAGAGGAAAGATTAGTACATGTGTTCAGACAGGTTTAGCCAGTGATGTGCTGGTCAGGGACAGTGGCTTCAAATTCCTGCCTTGTGTTTTCCTTCAAATTCCTTTTGAGAAGGACTTCTCACACAAACCAGCTTGTGTTGCCTCAATAACAAGCAGGACCAGCACAGCCTCAGAATTTGGAGGTTTTAACTAGAAGTCTGCCTTTTCTACAGTCTGTAAAAGTGGCAATTCAGAGCCTTTTCTGTCTCTGGGGCTGCTGCTGCTGAACTTGGAGTCACCAATGTAGCTCTGCTGGGCTGCTAAAATTGAGTTTAGCAGGAGCACAGACCAGGTGAAACACCCATTTTGACTGGGTCAGCAGAAAATCTGTGAAGGAACCTGATGCTTTTTAATACTTCAGTAAATGAAGAAATCCCTGATAATTTTACTTCATGTTATACCTAAACTGTGGGTAAACTCCGAGAGCTGCTGGGAGAATGATCCAGACCATTTTTTAATTTGTCTTTTGCTTTAGTTATTATTTGGGGGGATTAAATCTTGAATATTGCTGCAGTTCTTGCTACACTTTTTTAGCATTCAATATTCCTGTGCCTTGTCCAGGAGAAGGGAGGGCACAGGACAAGATGATGTGACAATCTTTCCCTTGGGGATGTGCCATTGCTCCTGGTGAAGAGCCCCAGGCCAAGGGGGGTTGCTCTGCACTGGAGCTGCCTTGGGGTTTGGGTGATATTTGCAGAATTTTATTGCTCTATATCTATATTTCTCATCCTACTGGGCAGAAATATTTAACAGAGCAGAGTTTAACTCGATCCACCTTCCTACCTACAGAACATTTTGCACACCCATTTTTCCCAAGCCTGAAATGAAATTCCACACTTTTCTAGGGGTGAAAACATCTTCTCAGGGGCTCCTGGGAAGCTCCACGCTGCTGTTCCTGCCCCGTGCCAGCTCCTAGGAAATCTGATTCTGGCCCTGTTTGCATAAGCAGCTTGGCTGTGTGCTTCCTGCAGGCTGCTCAGGGAAAGTTTCGTCGCTTGCGCGTTGACACAAGCAGTGAGCAAATAAAGGAGAATTTACGAGACCAGTTGATCCAAAACCAAACCAAGCCAAACCTGGGAACTGCCGGGGGAATGTGTTACACTGGCTGCTCGTGTCTTACTAATGCTTGTAAAATGGTTCTGGCATCTTCAGAGGTAAGAAGAGATGGATATGGTTTTTATCTGGGAATTAATGAAACCTCAGGCACGTGTTCAGCTCCTCTAGATTTTCAGGGAGGAAATGATCCATTTGGAGTACTGTGCATCATTCTGATTGCTGTGTGCAATTTGGCTTAAATCTTAAGAGGCTGATTGCAACAACTTCTTTAATTCAGTCCCTTGCAGTTGTAATTCCTCCATCCTTTCCCTGCTGGCCTGTTTGGTGTTGCTCGTAACAGGCTCCTGAAGAAGTTAGCACAGATCCAGTCCTGGCACCAGGCTCCTCTGTGACCTGCTGACTTGAGCAGCACAGCTGGAAAAGCCTCGAGGATGTCTGGGCTGGCCAGAAATAGACTTGACTCCTGAAGGAAATGAGTGACGGAGGGAAAAATGGGTGTAGTGTGTGGTATTTTGAAGAGTCTGGCAGGAAGGAGAGGCATCAAAAGAGAAGGAGCAGTGAGGAAATCTGAGTTTTCCTGTTCTGTATTAGTTTGTACTTTACTGCCTTGCTGATTTAGGTGCCGGGGTGTTTGCTGAGGAAAGAGAATGAGAAGTTCCATTCCTCTCATAATTTCTGTAAAACTCTGAAAGGCCTTGATTTTTCCAGTGTGAAAAGGGAACTTAACTTTTAATGGGTTTTTTTAATCACAAAGGCTTTTGGGTCACAGCAAACCATTTTCATGCCCAGCTCTAACTGGTGTGGGAAAGGATGGTTCTGTACAGGAAATGCTGCATTGAATGTCATCATGCCTCCCCTCCCAGAGCCCTGGGGTTTCTGATGCTCTTTGATGGGGTGTTTTCTGAAAGGTGTGACCCCGTTTTTGTGCATCCTGTTGAGAAGAGCTGCACTAATAAAGGAGGGGCAGAGCGAGGTTGTGTTGAGAACACGCTGACACCTCTCTCATTCTTGAGCACACACTTGATTTTTCTGAGCTCAGATCACCATTTGAAACTCCTGGAGCCCCAAGGAGCCAACGAGTTCCTTCTTGTGGGCATTGCTCTGTGGTCTGAGGGCCTGGAGGGTGGTTGGAGAAAGGCACTGCCAGCAGTTCCTCTGTCTCTGCTGAAAGAGAAGTGCCTAAATCCACGGGGGGCGATGGTTCAGGAAGCAGCTCGGTGCTGTGGGCGCTGCGCAGCTCGGGGCTCAGCCCTTTCAGCTCTAACCCTGCTCTCTTTGCCCTCCCTCTGCCCCGCAGTACCGCCAGTAACTCCAACCGCAGCACGCCCGCCTGCTCCCCGATCCTGCGCAAACGCTCGCGCTCGCCCACGCCGCAGGACGCCCCGGGCGACGCCATGGTGGAGAAGGGCTCCGACCACTCCTCGGACAAGTCCCCGTCCACGCCGGAGCAGGGTGTCCAGCGGAGCTGCTCCTCCCAGTCAGGCCGCAGCGGGGCCAAGAACTCCAAGGTGAGGGGCGGGCAGCGGCCGCGTGCGCGGAGCTGGGCTTTGTCCTCTGCCTTCTTCTTCTTCTTCTTCTGCTCTGGTGGTTTCCCTCCCTCTTCCACAAGGTTCTCCTAGCTTGGGGTCCTTCACCTGGTCAGAGGTCAGCACAGCTCTGAGGTTATGGCTTTCTCTAGGTCCTTCCTAGGACCTTTCTCGAGGTCCTGTTTCCTCTGTGGGAAAACTCCTCTATTTCTGTGTTCAAGGGTGCCAGGACGAGTGAGGAGATGAGAATCTTGACTCCATGTTTCAGAAGGCTGATTTATTATATTATGATATTATATTATCTAAAACTATACAAAAAAGAACAGAGAGAAAGGGTTCATGAGAAGGCTAGAAAGGAAAAGCAAGGAATGGAATGAATAACAAAAGCTCATGACTCTCAGAGTCTGACACAGCTACATCTTTGATTGGTTAAGTGGAAACAACTCACGTGGACCAATCTAAGATGCACCTGTTGGTAAACAATGTCCAGACCACATTCCATAGCCATCAGGTAGTTATTTGTTTACATTTCTTTTCTGAGGCTTCTCAGCTAGAATAGGAGAAAAATCCTAGCAAAGGATTTTTTCATAAAATACCATGACTACACTCCTTCACTAGGGGTTTTCAACAGGCCTTGAAAATCAGCTGTTGCAATTGCTTTTTATCACCTGGATCATGAGATGAATAAGGTTTCCCCTGTGATGGGCCTGTGCATTTCCCCAGTCCTATCCAGGCCCTCTGAGATCAGATTGCACAGAATCACTTCTCCAGCCCTCTGCCCATTCCTTCCATGGCTGCAATGTTATGGCTGCCTTGCCCAGGGTAGCTGATATTTTCCCCAGGAAGGTTTTGTGTCTTTGGACCATGTTAGAAACAGCCTTGTCTTTGCTGTGCAGGGGAAGAGGGTTTCAGGTTTGGCTCTAGGTTTTTGTGTGAGCAGTGGGGCCTGGGATAACACACATGAGAGCCTGGGGTACCAAACAAACCTTTGATTGTAACCCTGGGATCAGTGATGTGTCAGCAGTCAGGAGCACTTGTGCTTGCCCAGATTTTTGAAGTGGGATGTTTCAGCCTGAATAATTTCACGGGCAGAACTCTGATGCCTTGTACAAAATGAATTGTTTGATTTATTGCTGGATTGTGTCACAGACCAGAAATCTTCATCCCCTCCCCTTTGTGGCCACTCAGCAGAGGGAACAGGACTCAGTGGCCCACATTCTGATCTCTCACCACTCTGGGGGGGTGTCTGTGAGTCAAGAGAGGGGGGAAAAGGGTTTTTCAAGCTGAATCATTGGCGTTCTGAGGTTGCCCTTGAGGTCAGCCTGGCTTCCTGTGCACGCAGTGACCTACAAACCCCGTCCCAGTGCTGCTGACACCCCCAGCACGGGCCTGCCAGCACTGTGTTCCCAAAAGGAAGCCATGGGGTGGGAGGCAGGAGGATGCAGGGCACGCTGTGCTGGGAGCCACCCTGGGGGTGCTCCCAGGGAAAGGGGCTCCTTGGGAAGGGGAACCACAGAGAGGATTTGCATCGCTCTGACCCTCAAAATTAAGGTCATGGGAGTGAGATTTTTACCAACACAGTGACTGCTAAAGCTGAACTTTAATTCCTTTCCACAAGGAAGAGGGGGTACAGTGCTCTCTGTTGGGTGTGTGGGTTTTCCTTCTCTTGATCTGCGAGGTAATTTTTCTTCTTTCCCTAATTTCTCTCTTTTCATTCCTGCATGCTTTCTCTCCGATTAAGTCACACAAGCGCCTCTCCAAAGTAAGCCTTCTTTTTTCTCTCCTGTCCCCCACTGTAGAGCTGTCTCATCACTCAGGAACCCTCCCTGTGGTGCTGAGTGCTGACCCCAGTCAGGCATTCTCCTGCTGTGGCTGTGAGAATGTCAGCAAGAGCTCAGCCCCGTGCCTGTAGCTGGAAGCTGGGTTCACTTGCATCACTGGCATCTCGCTGGTATTTGCTCACACAGACTGAGAACTGGCCTGTTCATCACACCCTGCAGCTGCTGCCAAATCATTTCAGCCTTTAAGTTCTTCTTTCCCCTCTCCTTGGAGTGAGCTGCTGTCTTTGCCAGGGAGAAATCCTCTGGAGTTGAACAGAGCCACGATCCCTTCTCTTTCCTTCTTCCCCCATGATTTCAGAAACAAGAGTTGTTTTCCATGACTTCTTCCCTGCTTTTCATGATAAATAGCATTTTTTGTGGCCAGTGATCTCAGCTTACTGCCCTTGCACGCTCTGCTGTGTGATGCAAATATTAAAGATCAGTGATTTCAAGTGAACCCAGCTTGAACCTGGTAGAACAGACCTGTCCCAAATGAATTGTGAGAATTCATGGGCTCGCTCTGAGAGGTGATAAGTGGAAGATCCCTCTGTGGGTGCTTGAATTGGAGATAAGATCGTTTGGGATTTGATCTCACAGCTCTGTGCTGCCCTCAGAAGAGTGGAAAAATCAGAAACACAGGTGGGATGTTGTTGGAGAAAGTGCCAGGCTGTTGGCATTTCCACTTTATGACAGCAGAATGGCTTGGATGGCTTCACAGCAATCCACAGAATCCTTGTCTTGGCCTTTCCCCAGTGGATGCCTCAGGTTTCCTTCTAGGCAGGTTCTCAGAGAGCAGTGCTGGCTCACTGTCCTCCCTTGGTCGTGGTCCTTGTGACCAGCCTGACCTTGCATGGTTTGCTGGTGTCTGCTGGGAGCTCCCTGACGTGGTTTTTTTGGACAGATTGTCCTGTGCTTGGTAGCTGTGGCTGGGATAACTGTGCAGAGGAGCACTGTGGGGCTCAAGTCTCAAGGTGAGGAGTGACAGAAGTGCTGTGCAGGGTCTGGAGTAGCAGAGTCCTGTCAGGATTGCTGGTGAGCCGAGGTGTGTGGGCCAGGACAGGCTGGAGGTGCAGAGGCTTTGAGGACAGAAGAAGCCTGGAACAGAGGGATGTTTGTAAAATGTGTGTGCAGTGCTGCTGGGAGGTGCCTGCAGCCAGCCCCTGCTTCTCTGAGAGAGAAAAACCCAACCACGGTGAGGCAGCTGGAGAAAGTGAGGGAAGTGGAGCCCAGATGAGTTCAGAGGGGAGGGATCCCAGGCAGGACCCCAGCAGCCTGTCAGAGCCTCCTGCCCTGCTCACACGGAATATTCTGAGCTGGATCCATGAGGATCAACAGCCTGGAGCTCTGCTCTGTGCTTCCTCTGGTACAAATGAAGAATTTCCAGGCATTAAACCCCTTGCTTCCCCCCACACAGACAATTCTGTTGTCTGCTCACACAGGGAGAGGTCAGCAACAAAAAAACTGGAGGGCAAAGATTCCAAACTCTCCTTTCTCAGCCTCTTCTCCTCTCCCCACCCATCTCCTGCAGGAAGAATGGTTTGCTTTCCCAACCTGTCTGGCTAATGAGGTGGAACAGCTTGAGCCCATGAGTTTGCTGCTGTGTTGGTGCAATTGCTGCCAGATCTGCTTGAGCTCCCTGCCCTCTTTTGTCTGTGCTGTTCTGTCGTGCTGCAGCGCTGCCGTCAGAGGGAGTGCTCCACCAGGAGTTAAAAACACTGGGATTGTCCCAGGGAGTGCTCCACCAGGAGTTAAAAACACTGGGATTGTCCCAGGGAGTGCTCCAGCAGGAGTTTGCTACACTGGGATTGTCCCAGGGAGTGCTCCAGCAGGAGTTAAAAACACTGGGATTGTCCCAGGGAGTGCTCCACCAGGAGTTAAAAACACTGGGATTGTCCCAGGGAGTGCTCCAGCAGGAGTTAAAAACACTGGGATTGTCCCAGGGAGTGCTCGAGCAGGAGTTTAAAACACTGGGATTGTCACAGGGAGTGCTCCAGCAGGAGTTTTAAGTATTGGAAATGTCCCAGGGATGCTCCACCAGGAATTTTAAACGCTGGAGTGCTCCAGCAGGAGTTTAAAACACTGGAATTGTCCCAGGGAGTGCTCCAGCAAGAGTTTTAAACACTGGAGTGCTCCAGCAGGAGTTTTCAAGCACTGGAATTGTCACAGGGAGTGCTTCACCAGGCATTTAAAAGCAATGGAATTGTCACAGGGAATGCTCCAACAGGAATTTTAAACACTGGAGTGCTCCAGCAGGAGTTTTAAGCACTGGAATTATCCCAGGGAGTGCTCCAGCAGGAGTTTAAAACACTGGAATTGTCCCAGGGAGTGCTCCAGCAGGAGTCTTTAAGCACTGGAATTGTCCCAGGGAGTGCTCTACAGGAGATTTTAAGCACTGGAACTGGCAGAGGCAGTGCTCCACCAGAAGTTTTTAAGCACTGGAGTGCTCCACCAAATGTCTTGAAGCCCTGGAATTGCATCCTGAGGGAATCCTTCCTAGAGCTCTCTTTGCCCCCCTGACCCCACCACTGTGCCATGGTCTGACTCAGCTTTAGGCTTTTCTGGGACAGCTTTCCAAACTGAGGAAAAACCCATCTTTTTGCTAGTAGCCAAGGATAAAATATGTATTTTTTAACTATTTTGCTCTTGCCCAAGGATAAAAGTGGTTTCCTTCAGATTCTTCCCAATGTCTGTACTGTAGCTAATGGTGAATGCTGAGAATTAATATTAAGTTAGGGGAAAATATGAATTTTGGTGCTGGGGGCTGTAGAACCGTTCAGGTCAGGAAGGATCTCAGGGGGTCTCTCACCCAAGCCCTGCTCAAGGCAGGGTTAAATCAGCTTGGTCCAAACCCTTGTCCAGCCACATTTTGCAGCCCTCCAAGGCTGGAGATGCCCCAGCCTGGCCAGGCCCCTGCTCCAGTGCTTAACCACACTTGTGAGCAGCTTTTTCCTCCTCTCCAGGCAGAATTCCCCCTCCTGCAGCTAATGGCTGTTGCACCTTGTCCCTCCAGTGTGCCACGATGGGAAGAGTTTGGCTGTGTCTTCTCACCCACCCTCCCCCTGGGTGGGACAGAGCCCCTTTAGGTAGCAGGCAATGAAATTCTGATTATTTGGGGCTGGGGTGAGGGTTTGGGGAATAAATTCCATCCATTTCCTGGACTTACGGCCATTTAGAAGCTGGTTGGGTAGTGTAGCACAGGAGAGAGGGCTCTGGAATTCTGAGCTCTGGTCCTGTGCCTCTGCTTCCCCAGGTGAGACTTTGGGGATTTAGGGATGCTCCTAGAGCTCTGTGGCATGCCACTCCCTTGGTGAAAAGGTCTGAGTTCCCTGGGAGCAGCAAGGAGTGAGCTGTGGTGCTGCTGCAGCCATGCTGGGAGGCAGAGGCTCTGTTTGGAGTCCCCAGTTCACGTTTGGTGTGTGACCTGTGTCACCTCCCCTGGCAGTGCTTGCAGATGTCAGGTCACTAAACCGTGATATTTCAAAGGCTTAGAGAAAATATTCTTAGAGAAAAATATGAAAAATATTTTTCACGTTCCTCCAAAGGTCTTCCTGGTTGCAGCCCCCTTGGAACCACGAGCTCTGCTCTGTGCTCCTGTAGCATCATCTCTGCAAACCTGTCCCATCTTCTCCCTGTCTGTGTGCACCCCCCTCCTTCTGCTACTTATTTATTTTCTCTTTTCAGTTCTAATGCTTATGGTTTCTTTTTCCAGTATGACAGACTTAACCTGCTCAAAGTAAGAATATGTTTTTCCTTTTTCTTTCTTTTTTCCTCCCCCTCTCCATTTTACTGTCTCTTGATTTTCACAGTTTGCATCTCCCTCTCCATGAGTTTAAAAAAAAAAGATAAATTAGAAAAGAGATTTAAGGGCTGAGGTTGTCTGGATTTGGAACAAGTGTGTTGAACTTAGTGGAGGCAAAAGCTGAGGTTGGAGTGTTGGTATAATTAAGGATGTTGGTAAAATTATGGACATCAGTATAATTATGGATCTCAGTATAATTATTTCTGTGGAAGAGCTTAAAGATGAACCTGCAGAGCTCCTTTATAGAGGACCCTTGATTCAGGGAAATTCAAATGTTAGGAGGGAAAAGAAAAAAAAAATAGTTCCTGCAATGAATGCAGCAGAGGGGACTGAAATCCTGCTGGGCTGTGCTGACACCTCAGCATGGGCACCCTGATTTAGAAGGCACAGTGACAGCAGTGCCTCTGCTGTGTGTGTGCCAATTATAGTTTGATTATGAGGGTTTGTTGGGTTTTTTTTCCCCAGGAATTTCTGAGTTACGCCTTTTGCTCATTAAGGCAGACAGATGGCAAAACAAATCTGCAGGAAAATCACTCCATCTCAGGGCCTGTGCTCCTGAGGACAAGGTGCTGTGTGCATGGCTCAGATTAATTACCCTGGTTCTTTTTTTAGTCCAGACTGGGTTGCATAAGGCTTTTTTCCACGTCCTACTTGCAGAGAGGGATGGGATGACTTCAACCCCATCCTTTATGAATGGATCAGGTATGGCCAAGTATGGAAGAGAGTGGGAAGGAGGAGGAAATTCCTCTGCCTGCAGGAATGAGTGTGGGATATCAGCCATGCTCTGTGTTCAGTCCCTCAGCTCATCTCCTTTCCCCAGGATCTGGGGAAAAAAGGGGTGTTCCTCTTTTTAATTTTTTGTATTTTAGCCTGTGTACTGTATTACTGTGGGGCTTTTCACGAGAGACTGGGAGCTCTGCAATGGATCCTTCAGAAATGGATCCAGTGAGGTTTTGTGGCTGGAGTGGACACAGGGAACGTGGAGCAGGGAGATCCAGGGGTGGGATCAGAGCAGCCCCTGCCTCTTCACAGAAATCTGTTCCAATCTGACCTCATTAACACTTCCCCTCCTTTCCCATGGCAGAACAGGCTGTGTGTCCTTGTGGGCAGGCAGTGGCTGTGTCCCTGTGAATATTCCAGGGAATTCCCAGTGAAATTCCTGCAGCCTCTGTGGCGAGGCACAGCACAGAATGTTTCCCTTCCTATTCCAAGCTGCCTGCAAAGCCTGGAAAATTCTCCAAGGTCAGAAGCAAGATGGCTTCAGAGGGAGGAAAGGCAGTGAGATGTTGCTTCTGTCCTTGTGTGTTATCCTCAGCTCCCGCTGAAGGGTTTGGGAGAGGGGACAGCCTCGTGGGAAAGGCTCTGGTGCCCCCAGGCTTCACTGCCATGAGGGAAATCCCCCCAAAAAAGGGGGATTCCTGTGTCCTGAAGGAGCTCAGAGTCCTGCTGTTGGAAAGCCAGCCTGGCTGCAGTGGGAAGCTCATTTCCTCCTCTCCCTGTGCAGATAAATCTCACCTCCAGCTGAAAATTGCCAAGTGTGACTTTCCAAGCTGAGCCAGCTCTTTTGTGTGCTCCAATGTGATGTGTGGCCTGTCCTCTCCAACCATCTGAAATGCCATGATAAGGATGGGAGGAAAAAAAAAAATCACATGTGCAGATGATGCAAAACACTGTGCGCTGAAATGCTGAAAAAAAAATCCCAGCCTTTTTTTTTTCCTTGCCTAGCTTCTCTAGCGATTTTCTACAGCACTTTTCCTGGCTCTGTGTGTGTGTGTCTCCCTTTTAAAATTCCAAATACCCTTGGAACATTTGCCTTTTGTGGGCAAAGCTGTGTCCCTGCCCTTAGCAGTGCTTCGAGGGCTGTTCAGGGCAATGTGAGTTTTACCACTGGGCCAGTGGAAGAATGAAGGCCCTGAAGAGGTGGCTGGCAGTGGTGGTGATGATGATGATGGTGATGGTGAGCTCCTCTGTTGCTGGCTGGCACTGCTGGTCTGCAGACAAGGTGGCAGCATGTCTATGTGTGTGTGCATGTGGACATGCACACCTTGGCCTGAACTGTTTCCTGTTCCAGACTCCTGCTGCTGGATTTGTCCCTTGCTCCTGTAACTGGGGATGACTGTGTCAGACCACGCTGTGAAACCCATTGAAATCTTCTGTTTAATCCCACTTCCACTTCACTAATGATCCAAACCAGACTGGACCTGCTTTCTCTGTCCCTCTTTCTTGTTGATCCTAAGATCTCTGTGCTAACTAATGCTTCTCTTTTATTTTGTCCTTACAGAAAAGCCAGAGTTGGTATAATGTAAGTACTGCTGTTTCTCTTGTCCCTGGGTGCTCTGGGCTGGGCGGGGGGAAGGTGCCAAGGGGCTTTGCAGTGGCACTGGGGCACTCTGACCATTTCCAGGAGGAGGAGCTGGAAATGGCTCAGCACTGGCAAAGGAGGGCTGGCATCCTGAGCAAAGGGATGCCAGAGGCAGAGAGCAGAAGCTTTGTCCTTTTGGTCACTCTGGTGGTGCTCCCCACATCCTGCACCTCTGGTGTGTCAGCGTGGAATGTGGTGGCAGAGGTGACAAACAGAGCTGCCACCCTGCAAACCCTTTGCATCTCTCAGGGCGGCCCGGGGGCCATAGGGGAATTATTTTCTACCAACCCCAGAGAAACACCAACCTCCCTTTGCTTCTGCCTTGGTGTTTTTCCTTTGTTCTGCCCTGCTCTGGGCACAAAGTCCGTGTCCCCTTTGCACGGTCGGGCCCCCACCCTGGAGGCTCTGAAGTAGCCATAGGCAAATGCAGCAGCCATCCACGGCCAGCCACAGTTGCTGCCCTCCTGCAGCCATCCAGAGCAGGGTGGGGCCAGCAGAATGTGGGATTTGGGGTGAAACAGCGAGGTGGGGTTTGCAGAGAGGAGAGGCAGAGTTAGGACCTTGCTGGGTGTGAACAGCATCGCAGGAGGAGACCCCAGAGGCACAGAGGGACAGAGGCAGTGAATAAAAGAATAAGAATGTTTTGTTTTAAGAATAAAATGCAAACCAAGGTGGGCCAGACTGGTGGAGAAGTGGCAGATAAGGACTGTGAGCAGATGCCTCAGTCTGACCTGGCTGCTGCCAAGCCCTGACTCTGTCACCAGGCTAGAGGTGACTTTGGCTCTCACTGCTTCTGCCTGTAGCTGCTGAGCTCCATTCCCTGCTGCATGATGCTTTGCTGTGCTCTGCTTCTGTGGGTCTCTTGTGTTTTCATGTCCTCTCTATCTTATCTTTCTGTTCTCTTGTTTTTCCTCCATATATTTTCAGCATGAGAGACAGTACATCCGGAGAGTAAGCACTGGCTGCGTTTTTTTTGTGGTTTTCCCCACCCCACCCCATTATTTTCCTTTGTAAACAAAACAAAACAAACCCATTTTCTAGTTAGCAGAGACATTCTGGCCAGATAAAAGCAGCAGTGTGAAAATATGGATGAGGCACAGGCTCCAGGAAGTCAGTCAGTCCTACTTGGCAGTGTTATTTTCATTAAAAATTTGCTAATGCATCTCCTTGATAGAGTTTCCCGTCTTTGCCAGCTCCTTCCAGGCAGGATTTTTCTGCCATTTGGATCATTCTGGTTCCTCCATTCCTCTCCTCTCTGAGGGCAGCTCTAGAAATGAACCACGAAACCTCACCAGTTCCCTTGCCCACATTCCCCCACTCTCATTTTACACAAACCCCACTGTGCCAGTGCAAACTCCACACTCTTCTGTGTGCCAGGCACTGTGTAAACCCACCCAAAAAACAATCCCTAAAACAGCAAATGGGCCTCAAAGATCTGCAGGGCATCACCAGTTTGCTCCATTTTTTTTGCTGCTTTTAACTGGTCTTTTTGTCTCTGGAACACTGCATTCCTCTTTGCCAGCTGGAACCTTCCCTTTCTCCTCTCCTGGATTCCTTTTTCTCTATTTTTTTTCCTTGAGATGCCACCAACTTCTCCTGCCTTGTGTGTTCCCCTGAGCTTTTTTGGGATTGCCATCCCTGCCCCGTGGAGGAGTGGGAGGAAAGGGGTGAAGTGAGCTCGTGGTTGGTTTGGCAGAGCTGCCCCTCTCGCTGGTTGTGCTTTCTCTGCTTGGCTTTGCAGAGGACAAATGCAAACTGGTGCAGGTGCTCTGTGAGATGGAGAAGAGAAGCCCAGTTGGGGGATAAATGCACTCAGAATTTTTTTGTGTTCTTGTCCTTGTGGTGGAAGAGCAGGAGGTCAGTGGAAAGGGAAAGAGGAAAACTCCCTGAGGTGCTTCTCATGCCTTTAGTGAGGAATTGTGTACTTGGAGACTTTGGTTTGGAAATATTGTGGTTTTTAGGGGGAAAAATCTGTTGGTCACTTGTGGTTTAACCATCAGTAGTGTCATCTTTGGGTTGTGTGTCTGCATGGTGAATTATTGTTAATTCATTTATTATTTTAAAAATAATTCCTAAAAACAGACTCAGGCCTTAAAACTAAACCTCCTTTGTAGTTTTGTTTGCTGAAACAGAGATGTGCCTTACCCTGAACCCCTGAGGTGCTCTGAGAGGTGGAAATTTATGTTTTGCTTCCCTGAGGACACCAAGGAGGAGCTGCTCTGCCCGTGGGGGTGTCAGTAACTCCACACTTGGCAGATGACACTTGTCACCCAGCAGATGCCTTTCAAATGAGAGACAAACTGGAGATGCTTTGCTGCCAGGGATAAAATGTCTCTCCTTCTCTCCTTATTTTCTCTGGGTTTTGGGCAGAGGGCCCCATTTCTGTGTCACTGAGCCTGACATTCTGAGCCTGGCAAATCTGTCGTGGTTTTCCTGCCTCATTCTGCCTCACTTGAGCTGTGAACCCTTCTGCTTCCCTGTTCCCAAATTAGGATGTGTGTCTCAATATCCTGCAGCATTCTGCTGCTCTGCAGCAAGGCTTGCTTCTTAAATTCAGCACCAGGAGAGTCCAGAGGATGCTCTGGAAAAGAGAATGAACAAGATGATCTTGAAAAGTTAGAGAAAACTCACTTGACACCAGGGAAGAGGTGAGATTTAAATCCATGAGGTTTTCACTTTGGCATTTACATCCCAAGGTCTGCCTTGCTCTGAATTCCTTTATTTTTATCTATTGATAAAAATATCGGAATATTTTTTGTCTTCCTTTAACTGACACCAGTTATCTCTTTCAGCTGTTCCTAACTATTAGAATATCTGAAATATTTGCTGTCCCAGTCAGTGTGGGCAGGTCAATAGGAGCCCATCCCTTCCCTCGTGTGTTTGGGAGAGCAAAGTCTGCACTGAGGATTGCAGGGAGAGGGACAGGAGCCCTGCTCCTGCAGCTCTGCCAACAAATTTGTGTACACAGGGCAGCCCTCGGCCTGGCAGGAGATCAGAGTCTCAAAAATAGCCCCAAAATGCCAGTGTGGAGGCAGGTAAAGGGGAGAGGCCAGAGTTTTCCTTTGGGGAAATGCAGGGAAAGCATGTGAGGGCAGCTGGCTGAGGATCTGTCGTGGGTTGTGAGGCTTTTGTGAGGAAATCTGAGCAGCTCTTGAGCTCCTGAAGAACACCCAGACATCACAAGGCTGATAAGAAATCAGAGTGCTGTGTCTGTTCTTGGAGGCCTCGTGGATGCCACAGAGGAAGGGAAACTCAGCTGCTGGAAAAGTAAAATGTTCCCTGTAAAGGCAAAGGGGAATTTTGCCTCATTTTGGGGAGAAAATCAGGAACACCTTTCCAGGGGTGGCAGGTGAGCCTCCCTCACCAGCAGCACTGGAGTTTAATGCAAAAATCCAGGCCTGATGAGTGAGCAGGGTGTTGAAGAGCCCTTTTCTCTGTAAATCAGCACAATCATCTTTTAACTCCCAGTAACATTTCATAATGGTTTACTCCCAGTAACCATTTCATCAGATTATTTCTGGAGCAATGTTAACTCCCTGCCTTTCAGGGGCTTTTCATCCTGTCAGGTTTTCCACGACTTTCCATGTGTGGATTACCAGTTGCTGGGTTGTAGAGGCACTAAATTAGCAATAAATTTTTGGTGCAAGCTCCTGTGATGATGAACTCAGATCCATTTTCCAGCCCAGATCCCAGTGATTAATTTGAAGCATCTTCCTTTGCTTTTAATTCACTTTTAAAGGGAGAAAAAGGAAAAATATGGAAAATCTGAGCAACCAGAGTGGCTTTAGAGGAGATGCTGTTGGACAGGTGGCCACTTTCTTTGCTGGTTTTTCACACCCCTGCTGTCAGTGGGGTCTGAACCCTCCCACACAAGCAGGAAACATGTCCTGTTTATTCCAGAAGCAATGTAAATCACAGAAGTCCATCAGTCATGAAAACTGGATGGGCTTTTCCTTCCCCCTCTCCTCCGTGCCTCGTGCCATCTCTGCTCCCTGTTTTCTGTGCTGCCCAAGACTCAGCATTCCTCAGGGTTTGTGTTCTCTGTGTTGTCCCTTTCCCCAGCTCTGTTTGCTGGGAGTTTCCCGTGGAGGATTTGTTTGTGTGGAACAGGGATGTCACCCCAGGGAGATGCCACCCCAGGGAGTGACCCTCGTGTCCCCATCTCCCCCAGGGAGCAGCTCCCTCACCTCGGCAGTGCCACCCTGTCCCATCTCTGTGTTTGCAGTGCAGTTAATGTTTGCTGCCTCCAGCTCCAGGTCAGCTCTTCCCATCCCTGCTGGCACCATCTCTGCAAACACAGGTGGCTGGGGGTGGTTTTTATTTTTGTTCAGTCCCTGCTGGAGTTTCCAGCCAAGGGGCCATTCAGTAAAGCAGTGCAGGTGGCTGTAATGCCAATTTGTCCTTCACAGGCTGCAGAATGCTTTGTTTTAAATCATTCCCTCATCTTGGGGTGCAGATGGGAGCACTGCTGCAGTGCTGAATGGAAACTCCTCTGTGCCCCAATGAATTTGGTGTGCAGCTGAGCAGACTGAGCTTGTCAGTGAGCAAGCTGCCCCCCTGGCCTGGAGCAGAGCTCTGCAGGGGCTGGGTTGGCTTCTTGGTGCTTTTTGAGGTCTGTGTGCCCAGCTCTGGAAGAATGAGGGGTTTATTTCAGTGTTTGCTCACAGCTGAGCAGGTCTGGTGCCCTGCTGTGGGCATTGACCTGGCACTGCCTGCACCTGAGCAGGGAGCTGGAGGGGCTGGGACTCAGGGCAGGGGCACAGGGAGTGCCAGCAGCCCAGGCAGCCTCCTGGACCTGCAGGGACTTCATTCAGCCCTTCATTTCCAAAGTGACCTGACTAATGAATGAATCCTAGAAAGTCCCATTTTTGGGGGAGAACAGTGGGCTCAGAGATGCAGCCAGGAGTGGTGCAGCCCCTCACATTCTGCCTGTGTGGGCCTCCCATGGCTGGTTCCTCCCAGCCACATCCTTTATTTTTATCTATCACCTGCCTGAGTATTTTTCTTCTTCCTTTAACTGACCTGAGCAGTGAAAAGACACAGAATCACAGAATGACCAGGTTGGAAGAGACCTTCAAGATCATCGAGTCCAGCCCAGCCCCAACAGCTCAACTCAACCCTGGCCCCCAGTGCCACATCCAGGCTTTGTTAAACACCCCCAGGGATGGTGACTGCACCACCTCCCCGGGCAGCCATTCCAGAACTTTATCACCTTTCTGGGAAAAACTTCTTCCTGATATCCAGCCTGTGTTTCCCTTGGTGCAGCTGGAGGCTGTGTGCTCTGGTTGTGTCAGTGCTGCAGACAGAGCCCAGCCCCAGCTGAGCACAGGCACCTTTCAGGAGCTGTGCAGAGTGAGGAGGGCACCCCTGAGTCTCCTTTTCTCCAGGTGAGCACCCCCAGCTCCCTCAGGGGTTCCTCACAGGGTTTGTGTTCCAAACCCCTCACCAGCCAATTGTCTTTTTCAGGTGTTGCTAAATATCAGGAATATTTGCTGTCCCAGTCGGTGTGGGCAGATAACAGGAGCCCACCTGTGTTTGGGGGAGCACAGCCAGCCTGAGCAGTGCCGGGAGTGGGACAGGGGCCCGTGTGCAGGGAGTGGGACAGGAGCCCACGTCCCAGGCTCCCCTCAGCCTCCCCAGCACACTCTGTCCAGCAACTTTCCATGACAGGAAACATCTGCTGGAGGCAGGGCTGGGTTACTGCCGGGCATTGGCCGCCAGAGCTCCCCAGCTCCAGTGACTCCAGGCATGTGGAGTCATTTTGGGATCTTCCCCGCCCGCCCCTTCCATGAGAAGCAGAGAGACTGAGGCTGCCTTTGAGAGCAGGGACTGCAGGGCAGAGCCTGAGGCACTGAGGAGGCAGAATCACTGCTTTTCTGCTTGCAAGGAGGGGGAAAGCTGAGCTGGAGCTGTTTGCCTCCTGTCGGGTCCCGGGAGCCGCGTGAGTCGCTGTGTGGGATTGGGGCCAGCACTCCTGGACATTGGGGCCCTGGACTTTTGGGGCTTGTGCTGCCCTGCTGACACCCCCAGGGCTCCTGCAGGGGATGCCCACAGCCAGAAGCTGCTGAGGCTGCAGCAGGAGAGCACGGAGGGAGCCCAGCAGCACAGTCACCCCGATGAGCCTCTTTGGGAAAAGTCCTCTGGAGGGGAAATCCTCGCTGAGATCCTCAGGGGCCAACTGGGACGTGCTGGGTGTGGGCAGGAGAGCAGGGGAAGGCACCTAAACCCAGCTGAACTCCTGCCAGGCTGCACCTCTGTCGGCTCTGGACATAAACAGGGAGCAGTGGGAGCAGGAGGAGCAGAGCTGGAGCGGAGCTGGGGAGCTGAGCAGGGCTGGGGAAGGAGATGGATTCCCTGCTGGAGTGTGGCTCCCTCTGGGATCTTTGCCTGGACCAAGAGCTGCCGTGGTGGGACCCGGAGGGACTTGTGGACTTCTCTGGAGGAAATGCCAGCCCTGGACCTGATGAAATCCCAGCTGTGAGTGTCTCTAAACTGGAGCTGGTTGCACCCTGGCAGAGCTGCTGGGGCTGTCAGAGCCTCTGCTAGGACAGGTTTTAGTTTGAGCCCAAAGCCCAGCCCTGCAGGGATTATAATCCCTTTTCCCCACTCTGTCCCCATCCTGTCTGCTTGTTCCTGGAAATCTTGGGCTCGGGCTCCTGCTGGAGCCCATCTCAGACCAAGATCTTTTCCAGATGTTCAGGCTGGGAGTTTGGTGAGTACAATTCATATTTCTGTCATCAGCTGGTTGGCAGGTTTTACTCAGAGTGAGATCCCTTCCTCTGGGCCCACGGGGCCGGAGCAAGTGTTGCAATATTCTGTTTCTGTTCCACTGAGCTGCTGTGAGGAGCAGGGAATGCTTTTGGGGGCGAGGGGTTGTCTGTGATTTGACAACCAGCATCAAATCTGCTGTGATCTGACAGCTTTTGGCAGTGCTGTGAGGCTAATTCTAAATAAATTCTGTATTCCTCCCACCCCTGTGGCTCCACCACCATTCTTAAGCAGAAACTGCCTTCTCTAGTCTCAGAATTTTGGGGCCCTTGCTGGAACACTCCCACATTTCTTCCCTAGGAGATCAGTGCCTCTGGATTGTTGGATAAAGAGGGAAAATGTTGTACCCCAGGTGGCTTCTTCTCTGTGTTTGTGGGAGAAAGAACAGTGCAGATTCTCTGGGAGATGTAGGTGGGACAGGGGTGGGCTGGGGAATCCTGAGCTTTTGGTGACTGGTTGCTCATGCTCCTCTGGCAGGCCCGAATAACGCATTTTCTGGGGCAAACCCCCCATTTTCTGGGCTGAATCCCCTATTTTCTGGGGTAAATCACCTATTTTCTGGGGTAAATCACCTATTTTCTGCACTGAATGACCCATTTTTGGATGGTAAATCACCCTTTTTCTGTGCTGAATCCCCCATTTTCTGGGGTGAATCCTCTATTTTCTGGGGTGAATCACCTGTTTTCTGGGGTAAATCACCTATTTTCTCTGCTGAATTGTTGTATTGCACTAAGACACGGATTCTTACACTGAATCACCCATTTTTGGTGGTAAATCACCCCTTTTCTCTGCTGAATCCCCCATTTTCTGTGCTGAATCACCGTTTTCTTGGGTAAATCCCCATTTTCTAGGCTCAATTCCCCATTTTCTGTGCTGGATCCCCCATTTTCCGGGGCGAATCACCTGTTTTCTGGGGTAAATATTTCTGTCCTGAACCCTCCATTTCTGGTGGTAAATCGCCCCTTTTTTTGTGCTGGATCCCCATTTTCTGTGCTGGATCCCCGTTTTCTATGCCGGATATCCATTTTCTTTGCTGAATCTCCATTTTTCTGTGCTGAATCGCCCATTTTTATTGATAAATCACCCCTTTTCTATGCCAAATCCCCATTTTCTGTGCTGGATCCCCCATTTTCTGTGCTGGATCCCCATTTTCTGTGCTGGATCCCCATTCTCTGGTGTGACTCCCCCATTCCCTGGGGTAGCTGCCCCATTGCTGGTGATTTGGCAGGTGACTGCTGCAAGCAGAGCCCAGGTCCCACCTTGGACAGCGTGCAGGCACAGAGAATTCCTCTCTCCAGCCTTCCCAGCCTGGATTGCTCTCCCAAGCCGGGCTCTCCTCTTCCTCTCCCTCCCTGCACAAAGCCCAAACCCTCCCATAGCTGCGATGGGAGCTCCTCAGTGCCTCTGCCTCCCCTCTCCTGCTGTCCCCGAGGTGTCCCTGCTGTCCCCACTCCGTGTCCTGGCTGTCCCTGTCCTCAGCAGCCCCTTTTTCTCTGCAGGTGTTGAGCCCCACGTACAAGCAGCGCAACGAGGACTTCAGGAAACTCTTCAAGCAGCTCCCGGACACCGAGCGCCTCATCGTGGGTAAGGGCAGCCCCAGGGGGCTCTGGGGAGGAGAGAACACACACCCAGCCAGGTTTTCATTCCTAAATTCATCCTCAACACCAGGGCTTGATGGCCAAAATGGAGACAGAGAAGTCCTGGAGCTTTATTCCAATCAAGGGAGAGGCCATGGGGCATTTCCCATGGGATCTGTCAAATTTTTAGAGGATGCAGCCTCCTTTTTATCCCAATTTCCCTCTCTCTATCCCCACTGACTGAGGTACTTGAGAGGTTCAGACTTCCCTACTACAAACCCTTTTCTAATGTGTACCCCCCCCTTTATTTTTTTCTTTTCCTTGTGTCAATCATTGGAATTCCTATGGAATTTCTGGTTCTTCCCATTGTTTCTCTCATCTCTCAGTATCCAGTTTTATTTATCAGCAGACCCACTGTGAAAGACAAATCCCTCTCTTTCCATTCGTCAGTCAGTGGGATCCTTCCCTTTGTTTCTTTTATCTCTCAGTGCTACTTTTATCTAGCCATTAGTTTGTAAAGAGAAATCCCTCATTCCTTTCACCTCCAGACATTGCCACTGACAGCAAACCTGGAGCACAGGCAGAGCCCCATTTTCAAAGGGCTTTGCACTTTCTGTTGGGTTTTCTTCATTTGGTGGGGGATGATGTGATTTTTTTCCTCCCTTTTTCCTCCCTCTTTTCCAATGAGAGGAATAGCAGATTTCTCTTTACAAACAAGCGGTGGTAGATAAAGCCAGCACTGAGAGAGAAAACAAACAACGGGAAGGATTGCACTGAATGATGAATGGTAAAATATTTGCTTTTACAAATAAACTTTAGGTTTGCTGATAAATGAAATTGGACATTGAAAGATGAAAGAAACAATGGGGAAGAAAAACCCCTAAATTCCTTAAGAATTCAAAAATTAAAAGGCAGGGTTATATATTAGAGGGGAATCTCTGGTATCAGGTGTTCTGGGAAGTCTGAACCTCTCAAGTACCTCAGCCAGTGGGGAAAGAGAGAGGGAAATGTGGCTGGGAAATTGGGATAAAAAGGAGGCTGCATCCTCCAAAAATTGGAGAGACCCCAGGGGAATGCCCCATGGCCTTTCCCTTGATTGGAATAAAGTCAAAGGACTCCTCTGTCTCCTTTTTGGCCATCAAGCCCTGGTGTTTGTGGATGAATTTTTCTAACACCAACACCCCTGCTCACACAGGACTGCCCCTCCCAAACCTCACCTCCCAGCCACAGCTGCTCCTGTGCCCTGCAGAGCTGGGGATCCCCTCCTGTGCCCCCAAACCGGGGGGAAACTCACAATGACACCAGGAGGCAGAAGGGAGAGACAGATGGAATGTGGAGATAGCACCTGGGGTGCTGCAGGGCGAGAGCTGCTGGGCAGAGCATCAGTGAGGGGCAGGGACTGTGTGTGACAGGCCCCTGGAGGAGTCAGCCCCGAGAGCTGGGAGGGCAGAGCATCAGTGAGGGACAGGGACTGTGTGTGACAGGCCCCTGGAGGAGTCAGCCCCGAGAGCTGGGAGGGCAGAGCATCAGTGAGGGACAGGGACTGTCTGTGGCAGGCCCCTGGAGGAGTCAGCCCCGAGAGCTGCTGGGCAGAGCATCAGTGAGGGACAGGGACTGGCTGTGGCAGGCCCCTGGAGGAGTCAGCCCCGCTGGGGCTCAGGCTGCCTCTACCTTGGAGTGCCTTCTCTTGGTGCTGCTGCTCATCCTCACCTTTAGGCTCTCCTGGTGCCTTTTTTTGGGCTTGCCTAGAAACAGAGGCCAGACAAAGTTTAAAGCATATGATAATATATTAAATATATCCATGTGTATATGGATTAAATATATCCATATTTATATATATACACATATGCATATATTTAAAATATAAACATATAAAAATAAATAATATAAATATAGCCATGTTTCTATATATACATATATATATATAAATAATATAAATAAATCCATGTTTATATATATGCACATATATAAAAGACTATAAATACATCAATTTTTAATATATATATATTATATTTATATATGTTAATATATGTTTATATCCATAAAGATATTAAATATGAAGTTCATATATTTAATGAAGGGCCTTCAGCTATATTAAGGGCAGTCAGAGCCTCTCCAAGGGGCTACACCCAAAATGGTCACAATTTTTTCAGACAGATACAAGTTTGATCTATTTGCACATCAGGGGTTAATTGTCCAATTACTGTTTCAGGTAATGAAGTCATGTTCCCCCAGTTTTCTCTTTTGTTTTTACTTTTTGGGGCCTAGGGCTGTCAGATGTCCTTGAGTTTCAGGCCCAGAGGAATTATTTTTTCTGACCAAAAATTGAAGAGTTAACTACACTTTATATGGAGTTTAGAGTCCTGCACTGGTGCAGCTCAGGATTTAAAAACCACAAAGGTAAAAGATTAAGGCATCAGTGGCACCTTGTGGCGTTCTGCCCCTCACTGACCGCGTGCTGTCCCCCACAGATTACTCGTGTGCTCTCCAGAGGGACATTCTCCTGCAGGGCCGCCTCTACCTCTCTGAGAACTGGATCTGCTTCTACAGCAACATCTTCCGCTGGGAGACCCTGGTGAGGCTCTGCCACTGCTGCTGGACCCGGGGCTGTGTTCAGATTGGCTTTGGAAAGGCTCTTCTGCTGCCTTTCTCAGCAATTCCTCACTTTTTTGGGTGTTTTTCTGTGCCTGGGAGACCCTGGTGAGGCTCTCCCACTGCTGCCGACCCCAGGGCAGTGCCCACATTGGCTTTGTGGGGCTGTGTTCAGATTGGCTTTGGAAGGGCTGTTCCTGCTGCCTTTCTCAGCAATTCCTCACTTTTTTGGGTGTTTTTCTGTGCCTGGGAGACCCTGGTGAGGCTCGGCCCCTCCTGCCAACCCCAGGGCAGTGCCCTCCTTGGCTTTGGAAAAGCTCTTCTGCTGTCTTTCTCACAAATTCCTCCCTTGCCTGGTGTTTTCCCTGCCTGGGAGCCCCTGGTGAGGCTCTGCCAGTGCTGCCAACCCCAGGGCAGTGCCCTCATTGGCTTTGGAAGGGCTCTTCTGCTGCCTTTCTCATCAATTTCTCCCTTTTTTTGGTGTTTTTCCCTGCCTGGGAGACCCTGGTGAGGCTCTGCCACTGCTGCCAACCCCAGGGCAGTGCCCTCATTGGCTTTGGAAAAGCTCTTCTGCTGTCTTTCTCACAAATTCCTCCCTTTCCTGGTGTTTTCCCTGCCTGGGAGACCCTGGTGAGGCTCGCCCACTCCTGCCAACCCCAGGGCAGTGCCCTCATTGGCTTTGGAAAAGCTCTTCTGCTGTCTTTCTCACAAATTCCTCCCTTTCCTGGTGTTTTCCCTGCCTGGGAGACCCTGGTGAGGCTCTCCCATTGCTGCTAACCCTGGGACTGTGCTCAGATTGACTTTGGAAGGGCTCTTCTGCTGCCTTTCTCATCAATTCCTCACTTTTTTGGTGTTTTTCCCTGCCTGAGAGACCCTGGTGAGGCTCGTCCACTCCTGCCAACCCCAGGGCAGTGCCCTCATTGGCTTTGGAAGGGTTTTTCTGCTGTCTTTCTCACCAATTTCTCCCTCTCCTGGTGTTTTTCCCTGCCTGGCACAGCTGACAGTTCGCTTGAAGGACATCTGCTCCATGACCAAGGAGAAGACAGCACGGCTCATTCCCAATGCCATCCAAGTTTGCACTGACACTGAAAAGGTACATCCCACCCAGCTGAGGCCACCCCTGCGTGGCTGGCAGGGCACTTAGAGTGTGTGGGGGGTTTTTCCAAGCTGGGAAAAGGGCTGGGAGCAGGGCTCTGGCTGGAGCTCAGGTGTGGGGCCAGGTGAAATATCCAGCACATCTCCAACAGAGCTGTTTCAGGGCTCATTCCCTGCTGAGAGCCTGTCCATGAGCTTCACTCTGTGCTCTGTGGAGGGCTCACCCCAGCTGGGAAGTGACCCCAAACAGCCTTGTTGTGTTCTTCTCCTGTTTTTTAGCTTTTTCTCAGCTGCTTTTTCTCTCCCTCTCTCCCCATCCAGCACTTTTTTACTTCCTTTGGGGCTCGGGACAGGACGTACATGATGATGTTCAGACTCTGGCAGAATGCTCTGCTTGACAAGGTACAGAGGGAAACCTCAGAGCTGGGGGGGATGGATGTGGGCAGGAGCATCACTTCTGGCTGAAAAAACACCCAGGGACAGCAAAAACAAGTGTTTGGGCAGAAGGGACATGAAACACAAGTGGTTTTGGGCAGTAGGGACATAAAACACCAGTGTTCAGGCAGAGCAGGCTCATGACTGCAGAGGCAATTCCCTCTTTTTTGCAGGGAATTTTTTTGCTGGTGTTAATCACCCATTTTCTGGGGGAAATCACCCATTTTCTGGGGGAAATCACCCATTTTCTGGGGGAAATCACCCATTTTCTGGGGGAAATCACCCATTTTCTAGGGCAAGTCACCTTTTTTCTGCGGTTAATCACCCATTTTTTGGGGGAAATCACCCATTTTCTGGGGTAAATCACGCACAGTAGGTGCCACTCTGCTGAGGAATCAGGGTCTGAGGAGGGAATAAATTTTTTTTTTTTTGGAAGTCTGTAATTCCACAGTGGAGCATGCCTCAAGAAAGCAGCAGGAATAACTCACAGTGCAGGCAGAGCTCTCAGTAAATCTGTGCTCCAGGAGTGTGGATCTCCAGGCAGGACAGAAAATGAATGTTCAGGGCATCCCAAATCCGAGTGAGAGCGTTTGTGGGTGCAGGGTGCACTGGGTGGGGGCTCAGTGGGTTGGATTTTAAAATAAATCTGCTCCTGCTGTGCCAGAGACCCTGTAAATCCTGGGTTTGGTTTGAGTAGCTGTTCCACAGTGGGGAGGGGATTTCTGGCAGCAGTAAACCTGATGTCACACTGCTCCCAGCATTTCGGGGTGTCCTGGCTGGAATTCAGACCCCGCTGGAGGAATGAGGCACCAGGAATACCCTGTCCCAAAAAAAGTGGGGTAGGATTTAGGAGCAGAAAGGATCACCTTGCCTGTGGTTGTAACCTGAGCAGATTTTGGAGCTCCCAAGGAAATTCAGCGTCCTTGCTCTCAAGGTCAAGGCACAAGGGAGCTGAGACAGGGGGTGATAAACACAGGAAGCACTTCCAGAGCTCTTTTTTTCCAAATGTGGGATCTGTAGCTGGCAGGAAAAGGGGAGAAAAAGCTGAGTCCAGTTTTCCTGATAAGACAAGGGTGTGAGTTAATGTGTGTGGGAAGGAGGAGCAGTCAGATTTCTCTGGATGGAGTTCCTCATTAGAGGCTCTTTTTTCCTCCATGCTTTTGTTTGCTGCTGTGGGGAGCTAGATTTAAAAATTCCTGCCTTATCCCATCCAAGTACTATGGGAAGAAATTCCAGCCAGCAACTCAGAAAAATTCATTGGGTTTGTTTCCCCTCATTACCAAGAAATCTTTGTTGTTGGTTATAAGTTTCTTAGGGGTAAAAATCCCCTTTCATGCCTGTAGCACATCTTTAAATCACAAGTTTTCCTGCCCCATTTTGCAGAGCCTCATGTCACAGTCATGTGGTGATCACTGACCTGCATTCCTAAAATGGGCTTTTTTCAATGGGCTGGATAATTATTTTTTTCTTTTTTTCACAGGGGTGTCTGGTGACACAAACTCCTTTTGATTCCAAACCGTAGCAGAAAATGTTTTTCTTCATTGCTTTAGATAATTTTAATTAATTTTTTTTAATGTTAATATTTTAATTTTTAATATTTTTTTCTAGATTGTTTTAGATAATTTTCCCTGAAGCTGGGATTCTTCAGGCAGCTTTAATTAAAAAAAAAAAGTTGAAAGGGGGAAAAAAACCAACTCGTAAAGTCTTGGGGTTTGATGGAGCAGCAGACACTGACTGGGGGCACAGAAGAGGTGGGAAAAGATCAGTGGAGGTTTAGAGCTTCCTTTGGGACATTCCAGCCCTGCTCGGTGGGAAATGCCATCCCTGAGCTGCTCTGGGTGTACTTGCTGATATTTCAAAGGAACAGGAGACTGTGGCATGGAAAAATCACAGTGTCACATCTGGGGCAGAACCTGGGCTGCTGGTGGAGGATTATTGGTGACAGGGCTGTTTGTGCTCCATGGGGGAATCTCTAGGCCTGAGATTAAATTAATGGTAAAATATAATAATAAAAAAAATATAATAAAACATTGCATTGTACATATATTGCATAGATATTACATGCATATACATATATATATTATATTATTATTTAGTATCATATATAAGTTTATATATTATAGATATTGTATATAAAATATAATATACATTTAGTATTTTATATATTACATATAATATGTAAAATATATATAGTATTATATAAAGCTCTATATTCTATGATATTTATTGTGGTTTATTATATTTATAACAAGATCTTAATTACATATATTTATAGAGCATATTAACTATATGTTATGTAAAAAGTAACATTTAAATAGAAATAAATAAATAATATTTAAAATTATTACTATAATATATGAAAATTATATATTTATAAATATATGAATACCATTGTTAGTATATTTATATTTTATATATTCATATAGTTATATACATATATAAATATATCTAAATATAAATATAATTATATAAATAAATATATATAGAAAATAGAAATATTAATATAATTTTAATATATTGTATAGATATAAATTATAATTTATATATATTTATATACATTTATATATTATGTATATATAATATATATAAAAATTAAATAATAAAAACTCCACAAAATGAAATTTCACAGAGCTGAGCCCACAGAAAGGCTCTCACCTCAAGTATCAGCATCTCTCACTTCTTTCATGGCAAGGAATGTCCTGGCAGTGACAGTTCCAGACTCTCAGTGTGTTGTACACTCCTGGCTGCACACGTGTGACATTCTGTGTCCCTGTTGCAGCCCCTGTGTCCCAGGGAGCTCTGGAATGTCCTGGCAGTGACAGTTCCAGACTCTCAGTGTGTTGTACACTCCTGGCTGCACACGTGTGACATTCTGTGTCCCTGTTGCAGCCCCTGTGTCCCAGGGAGCTCTGGAATGTCCTGGCAGTGACAGTTCCAGACTCTCAGTGTGTTTTACACTCCTGGCTGCACACGTGTGACGTTCTGTGTCCCTGTTGCAGCCCCTGTGCCCCAAGGAGCTCTGGCACTTTGTCCACCAGTGTTATGGCAACGAGCTGGGGCTGACCAGCGACGACGAAGACTACGTGCCTCCTGATGATGACTTCAACACCATGGGGTGAGTGGGGAGGGCTGAGCAGAGGTGGCCCCAGGGGAGCAGGGGGTGCTGCATGCCCCAAATGCTGCCTGTGCTGACACGTCTGGGACCTGGATCTGTGCTGGCTCTGGGATGTGTGATGCCTAAAAGGTGGAAGTGGAGGGTTCCTCATGGAAGCTGGTGATGCCTTGGGTAGTCTGGCCGAGAGGGAGGCTGGAGAGAGCTAAAGATAAAGCAGGGATTTAAAAGGATCTCCTCCATGGATGCACCTTGGGCAGCACAAGAGCCCAGCCAGGGCTGCCCCAAGATGAACCCAAATGGTCCCAAAATGCTCCCTGGGTCTCTCCCTGGGCTCAGCTCTGCTCCATGTGCACATTGCAGTTCAGTGTCCAATCCCAGCTTTAGCCCTTGAAGGTCCATCCTTCTTGTTTTTCCAGCCCACTTTGTTTGTGCTCTTGGGCCTGAGATTTGGATCATTTGTCCTTGGTCCCCAAGGACAAGGGGGACCAAGGACAATTGGTCAATTGTCAACAGTTCCTTCTCAATTCCTAGAGCAGGAATTCTTTTGTCTCCCTGCTCTGTGCACAGAGCTCACCATCCCCTAATATGTAGCTCAGAACTACACACTAAAGCAGCACAGAATCTGAAAACTAGGAAAGCTAAAACTGAAGGCATCACTGGGAGGGACTGAAATGCCTGCTGAGCCAGCTGAGCAATTCTAGAAAAGCCAAAGCACCCTGGTCACAAGGCCGGGCAGTGTTGCATGGCCAGAAAATGCTGATGCTTGTCAATCCCTGCGTAAACACCCAAAAAACTGGGGCTTGCTCTCCCCTGCACTGAGCCATTCCTGCTTCTGGACAGCCTGGAAACTTCATAGAAACATTCTCACTTGCTCTGTGTGTGCAGCTGTAGCTGTTGTGAGAGGGGTAACCATAAAAACCTGTGTTCTCTGTGGCGTCCCAGCTACTGCGAAGAAATCCCCGTGGAGGAGAATGAAGTCAACGACAGCTCCTCCAAGAGCAGCATGGAGGCCAAGCCAGAAGCCAGCCCTCAGCTGCCAAAGAAATCTGTCACTGCCAGCACCCTGACCTCCACGGGCAGCAGTGAAGCCCCAGCCTCGGTGAGTTTTCTCCTCCCCTGGCAGCAGGAATTTGTTTTCCCTGAAATCCAGCACCCCGTGGGTTGTATGAGGTTTGTTCACCTCCAGCTCCTCTTCCACTGCTGCTGATTTCAGTCCTTGCTCAGTGATTTTGTCACTGGGACTCTCAGCAGCAAGAGCATTTTCCTTTCTGTACTTCTGGATGAAAAGTTTTGGACATAAAAGGATTATAATTTCTTCCCTGCCTTCGCTTATTCCGTGGAAAAGAGTGTGTATTATGGCAGAAGAGACCTTGGTTAGATATTACCTCAGGTTCTTTTAGCTTGTTCAGGAGCAAAACCAGTATTGGACAATATTGTTCTTGTCTGAACAAAAATCCTGGTGGTGTTCAAAGCTTGCACACTGATTTTTTGAGAGGAGGTTTTACAAACACTGTATAGCAGTTGTCCTTCTCTCGCTGTTTAATTTCCACATATGTTAAGGCCAAATATTCAGAGATTGGCTCAGAGATGTGAGGTGTTTTGCAGTAAAGCCCATTTGCAGGTGCTGATGCTGCCCTTGTTGTGCCCTGTCCTTGCTGCAGTTCGATGGAGTGCTCCCAGAAGAGGAGGAGGCAGTGGCAGAGAGTCCTGTGGAGAAGGACCTTGGCATTGCCAACATCATGGGAGAGAAGATCGACATCATTGGCCCTGTGAACTCCCCCTCCCTGGACTTCAATGACAACGAGGACATTCCCACGGAGCTCAGTGACTCCTCAGACACCCACGATGAAGGTAGGTGGGGAAAGGCCACTCCATCAGGGCTCCTTCCAGCTTATCCCATCCCTCCTGTGAGGGAATGGAGTGGTGACTACTGAAATCCTTTCCTGGACCCTGAAGATGCAAAGAATTCCCACTGTGGGCTGCAGAAAGTCAATGTGTTTACATTTTAGGATGTGGTTAAAAATTTTAGAATGTGCCTAAAATAATTCATTGTCCCTTCCCTATGTAATTAATTATCCCTTCTGATGTCCCATCTTCTTGCTCTGGGATCAGTGCAAAAGAGTTGTGTTGCCTTGTGAAAGCTGGCCCGGAACAGAGGCTGGACAGTTACAGAATAAAGCAGGGATTTATTCAAAGGATCTCCTCAAAGTTCTTTAGACTCCTCCTTTAGATTCTTCTTGAAATATTGAGGTCCTGGTGTTGTAGAAGCACATTTTTCATCACCCTGGAGGGTCATGGCTGGACCTTGAGGCTCTCTTTGCCCCCAGGAGAAGTCCAGGCCTTTTACGAGGACCTGAACGGGCGCCAGTACGTGAACGAGGTGTTCAACTTCAGCGTGGACAAGCTCTACGACCTGCTCTTCACTGACTCCCAGTTCCAGAGGGACTTCATGGAGCAGCGCCGCTTCTCTGGTGAGCTGCTGCTGCTGCAGCTGCCCAGGGGCTGCACGGGGAAGGGAGCTACAATTTTGTCTGCTTGGGTGACATTCGGATCAGATTTTGGGACAGAGTGGCCTGTTCAGAGTGGTGTGTGCAGGACCTGTGTGCCCATCTGGTTTTATTTTCTAACAGCTGGAACAGCTTTTTTATGGAAAAAGCTGATTTTCTTACCTTTTATCATCACCTAAAGCCTGGTCTTCTGTTCAAGGCTTAACAGTGTGAGGGAAAAGCTCTTCTAGCTCCACACCTGACACAGACAGAGGTGCAGAGAGAATCCCTTGGTGTGTCATGCTCCTCCTTTCCCTGTAACTGTAGGTTTGCTGAAGGAGATAAATCCCCAGCCTTTCCCCTCTCCCTGCACTTGAAAGAGGGGAAAATACATTTAGCACAGGAGGCCTTTGTTTCACACTCAGCTGAGCTCTAGAGCAGCCAGGCTCCCCCAGGGGAAGGAAATCCCATCCCCAGCTTGGTTTTATGGCTCTGCTTTTCCCCAGGGGACTGACCTGAGGTCCCTCCCCAGTCACTTCACTGGAATGTTGTTTTATCCTCTCAGATATTATCTTTCACCCCTGGAAGAAGGAGGAAAATGGCAATCAGACCAGAGTGATCCTGTACACCATCACCCTCACCAACCCTCTGGCCCCCAAAACTGCCACAGTCACTGAGACTCAGGTAAGTGACACTGGAGCAGGCCTGGGGTGCTTGGTACAAACTTCTCTGAGAGTTATTTTCTTGTCCTGAGCATGTTTTCATTGTCCCTGTCCATTTTTAAAGAGATGATCTCTTTAAAAAGGTACAAAAGGGGAAAAATGCACTGGGAGGAGCCAGGATGGCTGTTTCTAGCAGGGAGGAAAAGCCTCTTTCCATGTCCAGAAATGTGTAAATACTGAGACTGAGCTTTAGGGATTGCTAAAAGGGAGCCAGGAAAAGGGGTCTGAGCACCACATTTCAGAGAGGGGGATGCCAGCAGCAAGGTGGGACTGGTGAGGGTGTGAGGAGAGGTGCAGGGAGCAGAAGGGAAAAGGGAGAGCAAAGGGAGGTGCACACCCTCAGATAAACAAACCATGGCTTATTTAATTCTGAGTTTGGCTCAACCACCAAAGCACCCCCTGTGTGTCCTCACTGCAGAGCTGGGTGGGAATAATCTGCAGGAGAAGCCATGCTTTGTCCAGGGATCTGTGCTTAACTGTGTCTGTCTGTCTGTCCTCTGGGCGAGGTTTGCTCTGGAGCAAAGGCAAAGCACATCAGAAGTGCTTAAAAGAAGGAAGTGGTGTGTCCTTACGGTGTTTAGAATCACAGAATGATTTATGACAGAGAATTCATTAGCTAGAATTTATGCTAGAACCTCAGGTGGGTCCCTGACAAGGCAGAAGAGAGGTTCCACTTGGAAAGGTCCCACTCAGAGAGGTCCCAGCGAGCCAGTCCCCACCTGGCACTGCATCTAACACCTCTGTTACAAAATCCTAGAGGCACGAGCTGAATGCCCTTTTAAAAATGTACTCACAAGAAGCATCTGGGTGAATCCCTGGTTTTCCTCTGCCTTCCCTTCGGGGCGAGCTGCTCCCAGCAGAGCTGGGCTGGGCCGTGGGGGTGCCTCCTGTGTGCAGAGTGCTGCTGGAGGTGCCAGTCTCTCAGAGCAGCACCCTGACCACACTCAGAGTTGCCTTGCACGCTGTTTTTCCTGCAGACAATGTACAAAGCCAGCCAGGAGAGCGAGTGCTATGTCATAGATGCAGAGGTGCTAACTCACGACGTCCCCTACCACGACTATTTCTACACCATTAACCGCTACACGTTGACTCGTGTTGCCAGAAACAAAAGCCGACTCAGGTACCTCTCCTGGGGAGGGAATGATGAGCAAAAAGCACCTTTGGGAGGGGGTTTTGCTCTTTGGGTGTGTTAGGAGGGGTTGAGGGGGTTATTTCTTTGTTTGTTTCTTTTAAAATTTATTTATTTTTTAATGCTCTCCTCCCCAGCCAGCATTAAACACCTTTGGTTTGTCTGTGCTCCTGGAGTGCTGTGCTCCCTTCTCTCCTTTCCCCTGGGTTTTGCCCTTGTTTTAGCCAAACATGGGCTTTGCAGCTCTGAGCTGGGAGTCCTAAAGGCAGGTCTGGGACCTGTCAGGGACAGTGACAGGACAGAGGCAGCTGTGCAAGAAGAGAGGAGTCAATACCTACAAGAGAAGAAATCCAACAAGTGTTTTATTTTTTATATTTTTACATCAGGAATGCAGTTTGCAGATTTTTAATGACACATAGAAACTGTGTGTGTGGGTAATTTAAAGCAAGTGGTTTAATTGCTGACACACCAGCTACTATGAGGGACAATGACTGTGCAGAGCTCTCTGGGAGTCACTGGGCTCAGTGGCTGTGAGGATTCTGTCACATCTTCTCCTTTGTCCTGTTGCTGGGACGTTCCTGTCACCAAGAGTAGGGGCAGGATTTTCACCTGCTGGGTTGCCATCAGTGCAGAGCAGTTACAGCTGCATCAGGGAGAGGATTTACAGATTTTTCTTGCCTCTCTCTTGGATGCAGAGGTTTGCAGAGCCTGACTGTGATAAGCACAGGATGAACATCCTGGGACTAAACAGAGGAATTGAGTACTGGCAAAGCCATGTCCATGTGACTTCAGTAATGATAATCCAAGTGTCTGCCAAATGGCCCTGGAGTGCTCTTGGGAGAGGCTCTTCCTGCCTTTGGAAGGATTTTTCCAGCAGTGCTTCTCCTCTGGAAACGTGAAAGGCTCAGAGCATTCCAGAAATAACAGTGTACATGATTATTTCCTGGATTTACACTGACAAAGATTGTGAGTTGACATCACCCCCAGGAAGCAAAAGCAGGGGAATGACTGACCTTCTCCTCCTCACAGGGTTTCCACAGAATTACGCTACAGGAAACAGCCTTGGGGGCTGGTGAAATCCTTCATTGAGAAGAATTTTTGGAGTGGCCTGGAGGATTATTTCCGTCACTTGGGTAAGAGTGGCAGTGCCAGTGGCACTCATGTTTCCCTGGGAGTGGGCAGCATGATGCAGCCTTGAGGGGGCTTACAAAAGGGGCTACCACAGCTGGAATAAATGACCTGCTGGAATTAATCAGGGCAGCAAATCCTGCTCCCTGTCAGACAGTTTGGGGGTCAAATTTTGGTGAAAGGTGCAAAGAATGTGGAGCACGAATCTCTCAGACCCTGCCAGCTTCTTTGGCCCAGCTGGTGCTTTTTTTGGGCTACTTAAAAACAGTGGCCAGGCAAAATTAAGAGAATAAAAAGCAGTTCTATTTATTGAAGGGCCTTCAGGTACATTTAGGGCAGACAAACCCCACCCAAAAATGGACAATGGGTCAGGGGTTTTCACACTTTTATAAGTTTGGTCCATTTGCATTTTGGGGGTCAATCTTCCAATTCCAGCTTCAGCCAATGAAGTCATTGACCCCAAGTTTGCTCCCCCAACTCCCTTTTGTTTCCATCTCTCAGCCTGAGGCAGTGAGGTGTCCTTGATTGCCAGGCCTGGAGAGGAATTGTTGTGTCTGCCCCAAATGGGGAAGCAGCAGCTCCCACTGTGTGTGGAGTTTGGAGTTCTGCACCAAAGAACTGCAGGATTACAAATAGATGGAAAATAGAAAAGCTGAAATCCTGGACAGGAATTGCTGTATCTGCCCCAAATGGGGAAGCAGCAGCTCCCACTGTGTGTGGAGTTTGGAGTTCTGCACTAAAGAACTGCAGGATGGCAAACAGGTGGAAAATAGAAAAGATAAAATCCTAAAGCATCGCAGCAGAGGGGTTAAACCTTTCTCTCTCTCCAACATGCTCCCCCTTGGTGCTGCAGAGAGCGAGCTGACCAAAACAGAGAGCACGTACCTGGCGGAGGTGCACAGACAATCCCCCAAAGAGAAGGTGAGCAAGCAATCCACGGTGCGGCGGCGGAAACGCGCCCACGCCCACCTGAGGGTGCCACACCTGGAGGAGGTGCTCAGCCCCGTCACCACCCCCACGGATGAGGAGGTTGCCCATCGAATCAAGCACGTGGCAGGTGAGCAGCTGGGGATGGGTTCAAGCAGGGCTTTGTCACAGAGGGGGAGTGTTGGGGTTGTTTGGGTCAGGTGGATCAGGGGTTGCTTTTCCCTGTTTCCCGTCCTGAATTCATCCCATCTCCTCAGGTTCCACTCAGACACGGCACATCCCTGAGGAGAGCCCCAGTGGCTTCCACCTGCAGAGTGTCTCCAAGCTGCTCCTTGTCATCAGCTTTGTGTAAGTGATGGTTTTTTCTGCTCTCCTCCCCAGCCAGCATTAAACACCTTTGGTTTGTCTGTGCTCCTGGAGTGCTGTGCTCCCTTCTCTCCTTTCCCCTGGGTTTTGCCCTTGTTTTAGCCAAACATGGGCTTTGCAGCTCTGAGCTGGGAGTCCTAAAGGCAGGTCTGGGACCTGTCTGGGACAGTGACAGTCAGGACAGAGGCAGCTGTGCAAGAAGAGAGGAGTCAATACCTACAAGAGAAGAAATCCAACAAGTGTTTTATTTTTTATATTTTTACATCAGGGATGCAGTTTGCAGATTTCTAATGACACATAGAAACTGTGTGTGTGGGTAATTTAAAACAAGTGGTTTAATGGCTGACACACCAGCTGCTGTGAGGGACAATGACTGTGCAGAGCTCTCTGGGAGTCACTGGGCTCAGTGGCTGTGAGGATTCTGTCACATCTGGTCAGGCAAAACCTGTTCATGTCTGGTGCTGGGCAGTGATTTTGATGAGAGGTACAGCCAGAAAGCAGCTGGACCTTTGAGAGATGATTTCTGCACAATAAGTGAATAAACAGCTGAAGTGTGAGGGATTTGAGTGATTTATCAGCTCAGCAGCAGGAGCTGTGTGGTTTGGCTCTTTCCTGCCACACCTTTCAGGACTGGTGGTCTTGGACTGGGATGTGCCCTCCAAGTGAGCTGGGAGTGGGCTCCTCACGTCCCTGTGGCTCAGTTCAGTACCCAAACTCACTGTTTTTATTGTTCTCTGCCCTCGGGCTGACAGCAGGCTTCATTCAGTGCTGCAGTGCTCACTGGGCAGCTGCTGTGGAGCAGAACAGTCCACAGCAGTGATCCAGGCTTTTCTGACTTGAGCTCAGCTTTTCCTTAAGCTCCACCTGGCTTTCAGAGAGGTGGGGGGAAGCTGGGATTTCAGGGCTGAAATGACAGCTCATGTTGAGCTCTTTTCTGTGTTCCCTGGTCCCAGAGGAGGCACAGATGCAGAGCCTTGCAGCAGCACCCAGCCACTGATAAATGAGGTGCTGGAAGGTGTTGTCATGATGAGAACACAGCACAGAGGTACCCAAGCTCTGTGCCAACGTCTCCTGACAGCTTCACTTGGGTCACAGAGCCCTCTGTGGTGTTTCCAGAATATTCCTCTGGCCCGTTGCCATCCGCCTGACTGAGCTGGTCATAGTGGGCCATTCTTCCAGCAAAATAACTGCACTGTTCCGAGCCAGGCACCAGCCTGGCAGCCTGGAATCCCTTCCTGGGGAGGAGCAGAAATGCCCCCCTGTGTGGTGGGGGTGAGAGGAGCTGGGCAGGGCATGGCTGGGGCGTGTTCCCAGGGCTGGGGTGGGCATGGAAGGGAGGATGTGAACGGTGTGTGGATGTGTCAGTGCCTCACTGGGAAGGGGGGATGTGAGCACTGTGTGTGTGTAAGTGCCTCACTAGGATTGGGACAGGCTGGATGTGAGCATTGTGTGTGTGTGTGTCAGTGCCTGCACCAGGATTGGGAAAGGCTGAGTGTGAACACTGTGTGTGTGTGTGTCAGTGCCTGCTTTGGGAATGGGGAAGGGAGGATGTGAACAGTGTGTGTGTGTGTGAGACAGTGCTTGCACTAGGATTGGAAAAGGCTGGATGTGAGCACTGTCTGTGTGTGTGTGTCAGTGCTTGCACTGGGAATGGGGAAGGCTGAATGTGAACAGTGTCTGTGTGTCAGTGTGAGTGCTTGCACTACGATTGGGGAAGGCTGGATGTGAGCAGTGTGTGTGTGTCAGTGCCTCAGTGGGATTGGGAAAGGCTGCATGTGAGCACTGTGTGTGTGTTTGTGTGTCAGTGCCTGCACTAGGATTGGGAAAGGCTGGATGTGAGCCCTGTGTGTGTGTTTGTGTGTCAGTGCCTCAGTGGGATTGGGAAAGGCTGCATGTGAGCAGTGTGTGTATGTCAGTGCCTCAGTGGGATTGGGAAAGGCTGCATGTGAGCACTGTGTGTATGTCAGTGCCTGCTGTCCCCAGGAGCCCAGCAGTGCTGAGGGAACTTCACCAGCAGTGCAGGCTCACGGATCCTGTCTGTCCTTCTGCCTCTGCTCCCTTCCCCTGTACCTCCTGCGCTGTCTGAGCCTCCCCTCCCACCCAGTTTGTGTCAGTCCGTTTCTAACCTGCAGCTGCTCCGTCTTTTCTCTTCCCTGCTCCCATTAGGATCTGTTTCAGGTACTGTCTCTCTCTTTTTTTACCTCTTTACTCTCCCATTTCCCTCCCTTTCTCTGCATTCGGCACATCCACTCACCCAGCCCTGTCTGTCTGTCTGTCCTCCTGGCTCACACATTTCTTCCACGAGGTGAAGTTTTGCTCACTCAGATTAAATCCCCGCTCACAGCATGGACTGGGGCTCAGACACCTTCCTGAAGGCCTGGCTGTAGTCCCAGGTGCTCCTGGCAGGCAGTGAGTGTGAAATGCTCCTGAAGTGGCTGTTTTCTTGCTTCCTTTGCAGTCTGGTGCTGCTGGTCATTCTCAACATGATGCTGTTCTACAAACTCTGGATGTTGGAGTACACCACGCAGACGCTGACAGCGTGGCAGGGCCTGAGGCTGCAGGAGAGGTACAGCCACGCCTGCTGGGGCTCACATTGGCTTTTCTGGGTGTCAGAGGCTTTCCTGTCACACCAGAGCTCTGGGCTCCCATTTTTGTGCAAAACAGGTGAAGCTGAAGGGCTGTGTGCATTTCCCCTGCAGCTGAGGAGCAGAGTTAAGGCCACAGAGGATGCTCTGTGAATAAATGTTCAGCAATTTTGGGCTGAGGGGGTCACTTCCCCTCCTTTGGTGGCCAAAATTCCCTCTGTATCTGCAGCATCTTAGAATGATCCCTCTGCATCAGAGGAGAATTTGGGCCTGGGACACAGGCTCTGTCAGGTTTGTGTGTTGGAAGGTGTGGATCCAGATGTCCTGCCTGAGTGGTCTCTGGTCTAGTTTTAGAGGCTGAGAACATCCTGCATCCACTTTTCTGAGGATTTTTGTCCCCTTGTGTCCCTTTTTTGGAGTTCCAGTTGCTCTCTTGCTACACTTCAACCATTCATAGCCATGTGCTACCTCTGTGTTGGAATTTTTTGCCCTATTTGTGTCATTTCTCCTCCTTAGCAAAGGGAATTACTATCTTCCTCATACCAACGCTGCTACTTCCCCACAAAAAGATACTTTAGGTGATTATAGATACTTCTGATTTTATCTTTTTTTTTTATCTTTCTCTGGTGCTCTTGGTGATTTTTAGACTACTACAATAGTATTTAAGTACAGAACTTAGATCCTGTTTGCACAGTGAGATGTGCAAGTGCTGGAATTACGTGGGTGGCTCCACATGGGTGATTGTTGTGTTGCAGCCACGATTGCTGTGGGAGCACCTGAATCCATCCAAGCACCTGGAATCCTTCCATCTGTCCTGAAGGGAAAGAATTGGAAAAAAGAGCCAGAGCAGCTATTCCTCACAATAAAGGCACAAAGGGACCCGAGGGACAGCAGCTGGCCAGGAGCCAGCAGTGTGCCCTGGGGCCAGGAAGGCCAGTGGCTCCTGGCAACTGAGGTGTTGGGGCTGGGCTGGACTCTGTGGTCTTGGAGGTCTCTTCCAGCCTGGTCATTCTGTGATTCTGTGAAAGAGAAATCTCTGTACAAACTGCGGGATTTTATGACCCTTGCCTGTGTTTTTGTGCAGGTTACCCCAGTCTCAGACAGAGTGGGCCCAGTTGCTGGAGTCCCAGCAGAAGTACCACGACTCAGAGCTGCAGAAATGGCGCGAGATCATCAAATCCTCCGTGATGCTCCTGGACCAGGTGAGACTGCACTGCTGCGGGCAGGGCTGTGACCAGGGTGTCACCGTGTCCTCCCAGTCCTGCTTCCCATCCTTCAGCACCTCCTGCTTCCACCACAGCCCCTCAGGTGTGCCAGCTCCTGTAGATCCATCTCCTGCTGCTGCTGGGTACCACAAGGGCTGTCACAGGGGGCCGTGGCTGCTCTCTCCCATCAGAGGGGTCCATGCACATCAAGGAGAGAACCCTAAGCAGGGCCAAAAACCTCATATGGGCACATTTGGTGTCTCATCTGTCATCCCAGTTTGGGGAGCAAACTGGTTTGAGCTGAGGCCTGGATTTACATGCAGCTTTCAGGGAGGAAGGGGACAAACTCTTGTAGCATAAGTGCAGGAATTTCAGGATGTGCTCCCTAAAAGGCACACAGGGCTGCTGAGAGCACAGTTCAGAAATGAGAGCTGCTTCCTCATAAATCCAGGAATTTCAGGGTGTGCTCCCTAAAATGCTGAAAACACAGGCCCCAAGTGAGAGCTGCTTCCTCATAAGTGCAGGAATTTCAGGGTGTGCTCCCTAAAAAGCACACAGGTCTGCTGGGAGCACAGTTCAGAAATGAGAGCTGCTTCCTCATAAGTCCCTAAATGTGAGCTGCTTTCCCCTAAGGAGAGAGAACTTAGGGAATGCCAATCCATGTCCCTATCAGACAGCTTCAGCAGCTCGCCTGGGTGTAGATAAGGACAGATTCAGCCTCCTTGGCTCCTCAGCACTGTCCTGGTATCACAGAGGAGTTTCTTCTTACCCTGGACTCTGCTCATCCCTTCTCCTGGAGAATGGTGCCCCACATTCCCAGTCCCCATTTGTGCATCCCCCTGACTCCCCACTTCCAAAACCACAATTACAGCATCAATGCTTGATACATAGGGAAAAAGGAAAAAGGAAACCCCCAAGTTCTCTCCTCCAGGGTAGCACCACAGTGGAGAAATCTCTTGTCTTGCAGATGAAGGATTCTCTAATAAATCTCCAGAATGGCATCGGGTCCCGGGACTTCGGGTCAGATCCAGAGGAGAAAAGGAAACGTTTCCATTAACAGGCAGGAATGCAGGAGGCCAGAGGACGGTGTGCAATATGTGTAAATAGGATATATAAATATATATATAAATATATATATATATACAGATATAAATATATATATTATATACAGATTTTAAGAGAAAAAAAAGAAAAAAAAAAAGAAAAAAAGCCTAAAGAGGGGAAGGAGTGACCTCCAACACTGGCTGAACTGGAGGGTCTCTGGGAGTGTGGGGGTGTGTGTGGGAGGGCTGTGCTCTCCCAGCACTGAGGTGTGCTTAGGGCCGTGCCCAGCCCTGCTCCCTGGGCCCGTGCACTGCTCCTCTGTGATATTCCTGTCTGTCTGTCTGTCTGTTCCTGTTGTCTCAAAGGGAAGCATCAGTGTGAGTGCCCCCCTGCCCGTCCCCATCCCCTCCCTGCGCATGGAGGTCCCTGCTTGGCTCTGCCATCTCCCACAGGGGACACTGTCACCTCCCTCACCCTGCTGCCTGCAGGCACACATTGGCAGTCGCAGTCAATCCCTGCAGAGCTGCTTGGAGAGCAGGGGGAGCTGCTGTGGCTCCGTGGAGGCCCCTGCTGGGGCAGGAATTTGCTGTCAGGGCAGCCAGGCTGGCTCAGAGAGCAGAGCTCAGAGCTGCAATCCCTCCCACAACCCCCCTGTGCTCCTCCTGTGTGATGCTGCAGTGAGAGCCAGGGGAGGGTCTGCCTCCCAGGTGTGTGCACACCTGTGACAGTGTCCCCTTTTCCTATTCTCTGCTTTCCCTGTGCTTGGGCCCTGCCACTGAGCCATCCCTGTGCTGCAGGTCTGCATCGCTGCTGGAATCACCACGGTGGGAGCACCCAAATTTAAACACAGAACCAAAATTAGGGTTGATTTGCAAGCACTCCCACCACCCAGCTCAGCAAATCTCTCTCCTGTTTGTTCACCCAGCCCTTGTATTGTAAAATCTGTGGGAAAACAGGGGGAAAGACAACAGCTTCCTTTCCTTGCCTGGGATAAATGACATAATTGTATCTATGCAGCACCAGCCATCACTGTGGATATTTATGTGACTGCATCCTTGGAGCAACAAGGCTTCCAAAAATCCAGGAGAGGTCAGGAAGGGTCGCAGGGACCACAGGAGGAGAGGAAAAAGGGCCCATCAGAGGGTGGCAGGACAGAGCTGGCTGTGAGGCACCTGAGGGGCAGTGCAGCCCTGGGGGCAGCCAGGTGCTAGAGCTGCACTAGAGAACAGCCAGTGTGCATTTGCACTTCTGCTGGGGCATAATTCCAGACTCCATTAGCAGCCAGACGGGGAAGAGGGGCAGCTTGGCTCTGCTGTGCAGTGCACAAACTCCACAGGGACTGGAGATGCAGGCTGCTTCTTGGAGTGTTTAATAAATGGTTTTGCCTCTCCCCCAGCGGGGTAGGTGATGAGAATATGAGTCCCACTTTGTCCAACATGAGAATGTGAGTCCCACTTTGTCCAGCACTGGGATTTTTCCACCTTCTGGCTGGCAGCTGCACATCCCCAGTTTGGAACAGTGCAGTTGCAGCTCCTCCAGGTCTCACACCATTCTGTGGCACAGAATATCCTCAGTGCAGCCTGAGGAAAGCCCTCTGAGCTCCCACTTCCCAGTGGATGCAGGAGTAACCTGCTGATTTCTCCCCAGAACAAAGTGCTAAACATGTGCCCCACACAAGACTCCCATGTGCAGGAGCATGGATGGAGCCAGGCTATCAAAAGGACATTTCAGACTGTGAAAGCAAGCTCCAGCTGGGGAAAACCAGAGAGTAATGGCTATTTATGACTATTTATTTAATTTAATGCTGCTGACTACTGTACTGCTCCCTGACTTTTTCCCAGGGAGGCTGCTGAAATGGCTGCTGTACCAAGAAATTGAGGTGCTAGGGCCTGGGAAGGGCTTTCTGGGGCTCCTTTTCCCCACTGTGACTTGCCAGACTGTCCCAGAGTCCCCCTTCCCCCTCTTACTCATTCCCACAATTACTAAGCACACAGAATTCCCCTGCTGCTGCGATTTCCCTCTTCTAGAATTTAATTTCCAGCAGCAAGCAGGACGCACAGAGGAGTCCCTGGGATCCAGCCTGCCAGGAAAGAGCACACTGCAAGAAGAGCCTGCAGTGTGGGGTCTCCTCCAGCTGCAGGCTGAGAAATCAGAGAGGGTCACAGATAAATGCTGCTGATCAGTGTTTGCTGCTCACATTCTCCCTGTCAGGGAGGCAAGGAACCCTTTTTCTCCCCCTGAATCCTTTCTCCTGTGCAGATTTCCAGCTGCAGGCTCGGGATGTTCCCTCAGGCTGAGCCCCAGGGACAGAACTGCACAAGCTCTGTTAAATCAGTGTCAGGCCAGGCAGCTGTAGCATCTCAACACTGATATTTGTCCCACCTGCACATTAAAGTGGATTTTTAAATTGTTTGACACCCATCCTGCCACTCAGCAATGTGAATTCCTGCAGTGGGAGCAGTGGGCACCAGGCAGAACCTGGTGCTGCAGTGTCCTCCACACTGAGGGAGGTTTCTCTTTGAGGTTCAGGGCTTTGGCTTTTTCTAGTTCTTTCTTTTTCCCACTTGGCAGCCAGTCTGCCTTGGAGTTGGATGGGATTCACAATCTTGTTTTGCCTCTTGATCTCTCACAGTAGTAATAAAGAGGGGAAAATCAGGGTCTTAAGGCACTAAGGGTGAGGGTTTAAAGAAAATCTTGGAGTGTTTTCAGTCCCTCTGCAGAGCTGGGATAGGAATCAGCTGCCCCTGAGCAGTCCCAGCTGACAGGTTAATTCCTTCTGGAGCCAGAGACAATTTTGGATTACATTTCCTGGCGGGATCAGTAACACTTTCTAGGAGTGAGAGGCCTGAATAATGTTACAGAGGGTGGTGCTTCCCCCAGCACTCACAGCCAAGCCAGGGTTTTGCTTCTCCCCTTGCTCACTCATCAGAAATCCCCCTGGATTCTTTCCAGGTGCATTTCCCCTCCCAGTCTGACCCTTCCACCTGCACATCTGCTGGGGTTTGATTTGCACCATCTGAACAACCACCAAAACAGGGATTTTTTTGAATTATATTTATTTTTTAAAAGGCATTTCTCCAGCCAAGCATGCAAAAGCAATGCCAACAGCTTGTAGCCTAAATCCTGCCAAGGAAGATGCTTCCTGTTGGGAGGAGGGAGAAGGGGGAGGCTCTGATCCACCAGTTTGTGACATCCTCACTGATCTTACAGTGGCACAACCTCAGCCCTGATAAATGCACACCTTAGCTTATCTTAGAGTTCTGGCAGCTGGGAGTTGAGTCCTGGGTAAGTGCTGTGCAACCAGGCATTCCCAGAGTAGATACCAGAGGTTTCTACAGCAGCACCTGCCCGTGAAGCCTCTGAAGGACCAAAAACCAGGTTATTCCAACCAAAAACCAGATTATCCCAAGGCAGGGGCACTGCTGGGCCTGCACATTCCAGAGAGTAAATATGGGAAAATAAAAGGCAGAGAGGCCCTTGCAGTGGGAAGGAGTTGGCTGTTAACAGGATAATGAGCTTTTTTGGGTGCTCTGCACTCCAGGCACTCTTCAGTGACAAAACTGTGCTATGAACTCATACTAACTGATACTAACTTGTGTCTGAACCCTTCCTGCCTCCCTTTGGGACAGGAGAAGGGAGGCACATGCCTTTGATGTCCCCTGAGCTGCCTGTGTGACACAGAGGCTGCATTTCCACCTCTGGCTGCTGTCCCTGTCTGCAGGTGACACCTGACCCTGCTTGGATGCTTCTCATCTTAAAACCAGAAACCTTGGGCACAGGAAACATCTCTAGTACAGTGTGACCCTGGGTTAGAAGAGGAAAGGTTCAAAGCACAAGGCTTTGCTGGATTTGGAGCCCTGAAGGCACAAAGCTGCCTCTGAGATAACAGGGCATGTACTGGGAGATTCCCTCTAGGAATGTTAATCCTGGAATGCTAATCCTTGTCCTTATCAGACAGCTTCAGCAGCTCACCTGCCTGTGGATAAGGACAGACACTTCAGCCTCCTTGGCTCCTCAGCACTGTCCTGGTAGTCACATAAGAGTTTATTCTTACCTTTATGCAAGAAGGTAGAAATTTCTTTCCCAGAGAGTGGCTGGAGACACCTTTGGTCTGGGCACTTGAGACCTTTTGGATTTGCTCTGGTGTGCTGCAGCAGCTGTTCTCCCCGGGAGCACAGGAACAAACTCCTGATTTACAGCTGGAACTGTCTGGTTCCATGTTCCACTGAAAATCAGTCTTGAAATCACTTTAAAGCAGCAGTGCCTGGCTCAGGGGAGGCAGCTCTGTCCTGTCTGCCCAGGCAGCTGCTGCCACCCCCAGCTCTGACAGATCAGTGCTTTCTGCACTGCCTGCTCAGCTCCAAGGGGTTCTGCCCACGGATCTCTGCCAGGCTGCCACCAACACAGCCCATGGCACAGCCCCCTGGGCTCTGACTTCGTGTTTTCAGCCTCAACACCACTTAAAATACTGACAGGGGCTTGCTTAAAACAGCTCAGAACAGACACTGGAACCAAAGTCCCTGAGGAAAGTGACACACAGAACACCTGGGCCAGGGTGGTTCCTGTGCTGATTTTCCAGCCTGTTCCCCACTGGACATGCTCTGATCACTGAGGCTCACAGAACACCTCTGCCAGGGTGGTTCCTGTGCTCTCTGAGCTCTTGTGGCTCACAGAACACCTGGGCCAGGGTGGTTCCTGTGCGCTCAGATCTCTTGTGGCTCACAGAACACCTGGGTCAGGGAGGTTCCTGTGCTCTCTGAGCTCTGTGGCTCACAGAACACCTGTGCCAGGGTGGTTCCTGTGCTGATTTTCCATCCTGTTCCCCACCAGACACGCTCTGATCTCTGTGTTTGCAGTCTCTCCAGCACGAGTCTCTCTGTGCCATAAAACCTCTCTTTTTCCAGATGTGCACACTGGCCAAATACTCTCGTGTCCTGGGTGACTGATCAAGGCCATTCCCTGATCTAGGCAGACAGCATGGGCTTCTCTTAGCATGGATCATGGCATGCCATGCCCTCCTCCTCTCCCACACGTTTTGCAGTGCTTGCTATGGCTTTTCCCTGTCCCCTCCCACCTCTGCTGCTGGACAATCATTACCTGTGTCATAGATGGTCTGACCTGGTGCTGTCCCTGCCTGCCTTCCCCTCCTGCAGTCTGTATGCTCTTCAAGTGAATGTGTTTTGTTTTATTTTATTTTATTTTTTTCAGTAGGGAAAAGGACTTCCTTCTGCTGAAGGAATTATATTTGCACATGGCTCGGGGAGGTTCCTCCTCTGGCCGTTTCTGTTACCTCACTCATTTAGGCCAATTCCATTGCTAACGTTAAAGGCCACCTTCCCTGCCCCAAACCCCGAGAGTAGGTAGGGAATGAACCCCCATGTGCAGCTCGGGTTCTGGAGCTGCCCAGTGGAATCAGGACTTGGGAGAGCAGCTGTCACAGCTCCATCCAGCAGGGAGCTGGAGCCTGTGCCACGCACATCATCCCCATCTCCACCCGCTGGGAAATGGCCCTTGGAGAGCAGGGATGGAAGCACCGACCTGGCTCTGGGCTGGATGTGGAGGGAGGGAAGAGCAGCAGAGCAGTAGCAACGTCACAACCTCCCACGAGCAGCCTGGGACATCACCATTCCAGTGGGATTTCATCTCCCAGGGCTGGAGAATGCTGCTATGAAACCCTGGGGCGTGTTGTCCCCACGCGGGTCCTGCAGCTCCTGTGCACAAGGGATGATGAACGAGGGTCTGCTCTCCTCCTACAACCACCACAGGCACCTGCTTCCCTGCTGGAATCCCCTCCAGACCCGGGGCTCATGGCTGAGGTGACTCTGGGGTGGGTGGGGGAAGGATTGTGGGTTTGTTTTAGGAGTTGTCCCGACTGTCAGAAACTTTGCGCTGTGCGCAAAAAAAAAAAAAAAACAAACAAAACCACAAAAACAAAAGAAAACAAAAACCAAGCCGCGGTTCAAAGCGATACTGGAACGTACGTGCTGGAATGTAGGAATTGTACAGGCTCTGCAGCCAAACTCCGTGTAAGTAGTTAGTACCATGGAAGTACGGTATCAATTAAAAAATCTATCCAACAACCAGCGTGGCTCTTGGTTCTTTTTATTATCCTGCCATTCCACAGTCTCCTCTCTCATTCCAAACACACACAGAGTCTTTGCCAGGACTTTCTCTTCCAGGTCTTGAAGAATCACCAATTTTTAAATTATTATTCCTTTTTCCCTGCAAGATTCTTGAGCAGAACTTTGCACCCCGTTTCCTCCTGCTTGGAACACCGCGAGGCAATGGTCACCTCTGTCTGCAGGAACTGGAAAAGTGAAAGATTTGTCCAAAAAAAAGAGCATCCAGAAGATGCCTGTGGGACTCAGGGAGGTGCTGGACAAGGGGACGGCCCTTCTTTACCACCTGAGGTAGCTCTCAAGAAGTTCTTGGGTTCACTCCTGTTTTGATTTAACAGTATGACACCAGAGGGTTTTCTGTGGCTCTCAGGGACTGAGAAGCAGAGCTGGAGTGGGAGAGAGGTGTCCTAAAATTCACCTTGGGCTCAGTGCCGTGGGCAGTGCTGGAAACCCCAGTTACAACCCAGTCCCTCTGTGGAGCTCAGGATCCTGCCAGGCAAACTGGGATAGGGAAGAAGATGGCATCCAGCTGAATATTCTTGGATATTCTTTTGGACATCAGGATTTTGGGAACTGGTGCCCAGACTGTGAGTGTGCTTTATCTGGAAAATGTGCTCCCCTTGCCAGGCTTGGCTCTGGGTTTGGGAGCAATCCTACTACCAAGACTGCACTGGAGTAGTTGACTAAAGTTGACACCCACTCTAAAAAAAAGGTTTTGAACAAGTGCCAGTTGGAAATCTGGCCTGAGCCTGCCTTACAAACGGGGTAATTTCCATGATTTTAGCGAGCACATAAAAAGCAGCAGAACAAAGCAGAGGGGATTCCGTGGGTGGGGAGCATGCCTGGAGTCACGAGCACGTTGGAGCTACTTACAAGTGGAGCAGAATTTGTCAACTCTGGCAAAGCAGCACAGGCTCCATTGCAGCAGGGATGTTACAACTCTGCCATGCAACAGGCCCAAACCTTCCCCACCTGGTTTTACAGCACGATTCCACCCTGGCCAATGGTTCTGCCTTTTTCCCTTTCCAATCCCAGCTGTTGAGCTCAACTGATCTGCACTGAAGGGCAGAAAGCAATTTTTATTCCATTTAACCCTCAGAAAAGGTAATTTTGCATAGGAAAGATGGAATTTCCAGGGTGATTCCTAGGCACCAGGAGATCATTTAGGATTCATCCAGACTATTTATACTGGTGATTAATTGCCTCAAGAGAGAATTAGGATTAACTGGGAAAAGTGGGTGTTTTGTGTCTATCCCTCTAGATGGTGCTGCTACAGCACCAGAGAACCACCACAGTTACAAAACTACAACCATTTTACTAAGCTGTGAGGGCTTTGTATCCTATTTGTTTCTCCTGCCTACCAGCATGAGGCTGCCTTCCTTTTTGGGGTTCCCCAGGAAAAGGTGGATGCCCTACCTTGTCCTGCTGCCTTGCCAGCTGTTACAGGTTCCTCCTCCCACTGTGTACTCCAGGAGCAAACCTGCTGTGCCAGGCAGGTGGAAGGGGACGGGGGGTTTGACACTTGATAAATGAGAGGGACACGGGATTCTTGTACTTAGATCATCCTGCTTCCCAAAGCAGGAGTATGTCATGGTCTGTATCCTCAATTCCCTCCAGAAGAAAGTGTGAACATGACACAGGGACCTGTCTTTCCTACTATACACTTCCAATTTTAGTGCATTACAGTCCTCACCCTACTCTGCTTGTGCATGGACAGCCTAAAATTCAGAGTGGCTTCATTAATTAATTAAATTCTTCCTGTTCTAACACCAAGAAAACCGCTTGGGCCACAGTATGTGGTGGACTAACCCCCTAAGAGATCCTTGTTCACAGTCCTGCAGCTCAGAGCAATGTGCCATACATACCCTTACCCTCTGCAGTGGAGAAGTAGCACATTTAGCAAATAAAGGTGGTGGTGAGAGCAGCTAAGAAGTGACAGGTGACATTTACAAAGCCATTGAGGTGATGATGGAACGGAAAGTCGGGAAGGAGCCGTGCTGCCCACAGCCTGTGCTGTTTGCTCTGCGTGCTTCCGCAGAGGAGTCCTTCAGCACCGGGCTGGCAGCTCAGGTGGGGTCACAGGACCAGAGTCAAGGCTGTACAGAGTCCCAGGCAAATGGAAGAGAATTTACACTTCCCCGTGTTCCTCCCCACGGCGCAGAGCTCCCCCTCAAAGCTGGCTGGTGTGGCATGGTCCTTCTGTCTTCAGAGCCCCTGCAAGGGAGACAATTCCTCTTGGAGCTCACAGGGGTGAGGGTGGCAACAGTTAGCACAGGAACTGACCGGAGGTGAACGAGAGAGTAAAAGATCCAGATTTTAATCTGTAGCACACAAATTCCTTCCTAGAACGTGTTTCCTTTGGAGGCAGAGCCCTTCCAGTCCTCATGGGCACAGCTGCAGGGGAAAGTGAAGATTCCCAACTCCACAGCAATAGGTAAAGGAGGCATAAATACACCGTGGCATGTGCTGCTTTGGGGGTTCAAGAAATACAAGTACACCCCTAAAGACACCTGTATGGCTTCTAAGGTTGTTGGGGGAGCTGCAGAGGAGCACAGCCATGCTCCAGGAGTCTCCAGCCCCACCACAAGGAAGCTGAGGGGTGGACAGACACAAGGAGTGACCACTTCTTCATGACCCACCTTGGCGCCGTTCACTGCGCTGCCTCCCCTCTGCTACTCCTCCACAGGCACAGCACAGTTCTCCTTGTTTTCCGATGGAATTGCAAGGTAGTCTGTCCTGTAGTTGGAGGGAAGGAGGAGAGCACACAGTGTAAAGCTCAGCTTGGGTAAACTCACCTTTGCTGAGAGCCTGGAAGCATCTCTGAGGTAACAAATGTCACCTGTAGATGCTCACAGAGGGAAACTCCTTGGCACAGGCAGGGCAAACACCGACTCTTCCCTGCTCCAAAATCCTACACAGCCAGCCTTCCTATGTACAAAGAGTGCTCTAAACCAAGCCAGGTGTGTGGAAAGATGGGAATGGGCCAGGATGAAACCAGACCTTCAGGAGAGCATCTCCACATGGTCCAAACCTGGAATACTGCTCACTCCCTGCCTGGTGTGTGGTGCAAGGGGGCACAGTCTTGGTGCTCCTAAATACTGCAAGGACTTTGGACAGAGCAAACACCAACCAGCCCATGCCACGGCAAAGTTCAGTCTTCCTGCAGTCTTCCAGCATGTTTTAATCACTACTCACTTTGTCAACCTTATTGAGGATTTCTGGCAAACTACACAGGGTCTGTCCCATATTGCAGACACCCTACAGGCACAGGTTCCTGCTGGTACAGAACAGTTCCTTGGGTTTTACAGTAGATGAGGTGAGGCAGAAGGAATTAATATTACACGATTTATTCAATCATCAGAAAGAAAAAGTCATCAATTTTAGACCTGATTATCCTGTACTAGCAGGGGTCTATACAATTTGAGAGCTCTGGGACATGTGAAGAGCTCTTGCAGAACAGACCTCACCTCCAGGGGTTCCAGACTTACGCATTTTCCTGGGCAGCCTCCTCTGCCTTGGAGACCTTCCTGTAGCAATAGATCATCTCAATCAGCAGCCAGAGCGTGAGGAAGACCAGCAGAATATACATCATAATTTCTGAGATGACAGAGGTGAAGTCTTCTCCAGCTGTGAATAAAATGAAACAACCCCTGATTATTTCCATGCAGATCCATGGACATTTTCCACCCTTGTGTTATCCTTCCTAATCCACCTTGACAGAGTCTCCAGGTGCCTTTAGGCTGTGAGGGGGCAAAAGAGAGGGATGTGCAACAGGCAGGGGTCCCAGAGGGATCCGACACGCACAGCCCTGTGTGTGCCTCGCATCCCTGCCACCCCCACATCCTCACGGATTGCTCACCTAGCTCATCTTCACGCTCTGTTTCCTCCCCGTGCCCCACTCGCTGGTGTTACTCGGCTCTGTTGTGCCGCCAGTGATTTGTAAAGGATCAAAACACTGAGGTGGTTGTGGGGAAGAGGGAGGGGAAAGGGCAGACAAAAGGGCTGAGAGCTCCAGGCCCTGTCTGAAGAGAGCAGCAGCATCCCCTGCACTGTCTGCAACATGCCGCGATTGCAGCACCGAACCCAGCAACACCCAGAGGAACAGAACGACTCAGGAGCACCACAGAAGGAAGGAGGAGAAGCAGGAGACTGGTATCAAAATGGAGAACGAGTTGTTGTTGCAGGAGGGAGGGGGCGGCAGCAAAGAATCGCTGCGGCTCCCTGGGAATGGCATCGCTGTAACATCCAGAGCCGCCGCCGGAGGAGCTGGAAACCTCTGCTCGCTCCTGCCCAGCTGTGCCCAGCTGTGCCCGCCTCACTGTGCCTTCCCACACCCACACACAACCAGCCTGTGCCCAGAACCAGCCTCCAGCCACCAAACAAGCCACAGGTTTTTCCTCCTGAGCCACGTTTGTCAATGCCAAACTCAGAGCCCTCTCCTGTGGTGCAGTGACAAACTCTATCCCTGGTGACAACACCCACGGCCACTGACAGCACAAAACACCCTCCTGCCCTCCTCCAGCATGGCGAGCTGGGTCACCCTGGCCTCTGACAGCACAAAACACCTCCTGCCTGTTGCGGTGTAATGTCATGGCTTGCCTCAGTTCCCCCGGTCCTTCCCCAGGTGTCAATCACCTCTCCTTTCCCCCAGCCTGACTCCTACTGTATATCAACACAGAAATTCCAGGGGAGCATCGAGTGACTGGGCAGAGTCAAAAGATGCTCTCCCTCCCTGGGGTCCCTTTCACCTGAGACCTGCCCACCCCATACCTGGTTGTTGGTCCTTGGTTCCCTTCCTCCTCCTCTCCCCGGGTTAAAAGGGCAAGCACACCACGTGCTCAGAGTTCTGGTGAAGCTGCTGCTAGATTCAGGGGCCATGTGGCCCAGAATAAAACCTCTGGATTAAAACCCTCCATCGGGGCCGACTCCTTCCTTCACCATCGCCTTAAAAGCTTCTCCAGCAC